TTTCGATTGAGTATTAAATTATACCTGTAATTATTTTCCTATGCACTATTTTACAATTGTTGCACAAGTGTGCAAAAGAAATTGTGCTTAGTGCCTTTCTTTTTCATTGACATTTCTCATTATTATGTCCCACTAAACTTCATTGACTTTTATCTATTTTTGAAAATCTAAATTAAGTTAAATTATTTAAATATTTTAGATCAACAAAAAAGATGATGTAGTCTCTTATAAAAGTAACATCCGAGGTAACATCTTATGAGGTTATTTATTATGATGAAAAAATATGATGAGGTATATTAGGTTATTAGTTGTAGCTATTATAAATTTAATGTATTTTGTGTGCCGAAGTTATGCAACCACCATTACAGTTGAACTTAAAACCGGACTGTAATGTTTTGTAAAATAAGATTTAGGCATTGTATACCTAAATGATTAGAGTATGTGTATCAAATTTATCAAAATTACTTGTGGAAAATAAAGCCAAAATATTTTGTAAAAACTCTCAATAAAATTATGTATAGGTACTTAATTTTCTACTTGTATTTACATTTTAAATAAATATCTAAAATAAATACAGCTCAAAAAATTCAGTGAAAACATTAAACTTTATTCTATATAAAGAATAAAACAATTTTCCAATTGTATCACAAGATTTAGGACCAGTATGTCATAGTGTTTCTGCTATAAAGTATTAAGTAATTTCCTGTCTAAAAACCTACCTTAAACTCATGTTTATGAATAATGTAAGCAATTCATTATCCACAATAACATGTAGTTTTCCGATAAGTATCCTTTACTTTACATGTAAATAAGGCAATTATTTCATTATTTATGTAACAATACTTAAGTAATTATGGTTAAAAATAAATGGAAAATAGTCTAAACAATTTATTGCCAGACTTTGAAATACATTTTTTTATTTGAAGGTTGTAATTAAATAGATATAGAATTTAGAATTTACACAATTTTGCAAATCTTTCATATTTATTATATTAACTTATCTATTTAATAATATAAACACTTGTAGGAGGAATCATAAAATATAGATAAAAGTTTCATATCTTTAAACAAAATTATCTAAACAAGAATTGACTATAAGTCGGATTACGCTCATTCGGCTCATTACAGAATGTCGAATAAACATTACATTTTTGCAATTGATTTGTATTATATCAATAAACTGTGATAATATTGAGGTAGGACAAACTAACCCTAAAATGTATGGAAATTATTAGGTACTTAAATTTTTTGCATGCAATGAATTTAAATTTAACTCACTTGGTATCCCACTAGTGCTTTGTCCCATTCTAATTCAAGAAAACTAAATAAAGTACCCGCTTATAAAATTACACTTTTTTTATTTTTAGCATACACTTTGAACATAATCTTGATTTTATTAAAAAATGCACAATACACATGGTCAAACATTTAAAACATACAAAGACAAATATACGAGTGGTGTCACGATTTTTAAAAGCTATAAATTGTTGAACAAATTATTTTAATTTTGACAAATTATGTTCAACTTTATTAGTAGTGTTAAAAATCATCTTCGTTTTTAAATCTATGTCATATTCACTAGTCTTCTTTTTATTATTTTAAGTGGCTGATAGATACTGTGAGTTGGATAAGAAGCAGAACTTGACATTCATCGACAACAGAAACAAACTAAAAGTTCTGTGTTCTGTGCCATTTGAAGGTTGTATAATTCGGTGCGTTTGGTTGCATACCTTCGGGTTCTATAATATATTAGAAAGGGAACTTCATTGGGGTTTTCCAATTTCGACTTCAAGTATAAATAAAATTAGGGATTAGGGTTGTGAGAATCGCATTATAAAATACTTCGTATGCAACTGTATCAGTGAGTTGTAATAGGTACAAAAAAAATTGGTTGTTTGCATAATTATCATGCAATAAATTTATGGGAAGGATGCGAATGTTGGTTTTCACTAACCAGTCTACCAATATTAACATTAATAGTTTTTGACAAACGAAGTAATTGAATAAATTATTTATCAAACAGGAAACACCTATATTTATTTTGATTTTATAATTTTTATGTTGGAAAGACTTATTTCGCAAAGATACGTGCTTCCCAGCATTGAGCCCATCTGTATCTGTAAGGTGGGGAGGGTGGATTGCTCCACATCACTTAGGCCTCACTAGGCTAATTGTGCATCTCCAGAGGCATGTAGGTCAGGAGGCGGTATAGTCCATTTAAAATAACGGTAAAAGGTCGAGAAACGCCGCACTTGACGAGACCACTTGTCCCCTACGTATTTTGGGGCGCTGTTGGAACACCCCTAAAAATGCAGAACACACTCCTACATAGGGGTGTTTTTCGACTGTACTTGTTGTGTTGCAAACTAACTCATCTCATATCTTTTTTGAGGCGCTGATTACGAAAATGGGGGTTAAAACTTGCCGCAATGGTTGAACCACCCCTAAAATCTACCGGTTGGGAGGGGGTGTTTATGGCATGTGGGGGGTGTCACACAAATTTTCCAGTCTCGACACCCCGATTTTCGAAATCAGTGACCCAAAAAACATATGAGATGAGTTAGTTTGGATAACAAGTACAGTCGAAAAACACCCCTTTATGGATGTTTTTTGCAATTATAGGGGTGTTCCAACCATTGCTGCCAGTTTTAACCCTTATTTTCATAATCAGCGCCCCAAAATACGTAGGGGACAAGTGGTCTCGTCAAGTGCGGCGTTTCTCGACCTTTAACCGTTATTTTAAATGGACTAGAGTATTCGTATAGTAATACCACAGTTTATAGCTTAAACGAATCAGTTCGCTCACTCGGACCAATTGGATGTTCCAAAATAATATCCACTCCAGGGATACAAATTCAGGATGCGCAGAAGAATGTTGTTTGAATATAGGCGGTTGTCATATATTTTACTGGTTATGAATTGATTCTATACGTGCCAGGGATACAAATCCGAGTTGCGCAGTGTAAAAACTGGAACATTGAGATCAAAAGTGCCGACGCAGAGTGAGCGAACTTATTCTTTAGCTATAAACTGTGGTAATACATTCTAGGCTTGCGCACGCGCAGATGATTATATGAGATTATAATTTGTTATTTGAGACTTTTCAATTTGAGCTGTGCCAAGGCCTTTGGAGTCTATGCCGGTTGGCGTAGCCAGGTATGGGTTGATATTTTCTGGGGGCGGCTTCGCCGCCACCCTTAGGGTTACCACTTTTTTAAAAAGTGAATAAAGTACATTTTAAAAATATCTTCATATAGTACCCGGTTTTATGAATGCGAGTAGGGCGTTCGTGCAGGGTATCACGGTAAAAACCACTCAAAATGCACCGCAGGTAGCTTTTTTTTTTCATTTTTTAATAACTTATAGGTCTTAATTAGGTAGTTTTACCATAAATGAATAAATAAACTGAAAAATTATTATTATTATCAAAATTATGAAGTGGTTCGATTTGTGCGACGACAGCAACGGACGCACAAGCGGAACCATTATACTTCACAAACTTTTTTGGCGATGGTACCTTTTTGAAAAGCGAAATAACACATTTCTCAAAAAAAAATACTCAAGCAAAATCATATTCTCCTTCCTCTTAGTAAAAAAAAGTCATCAAGCCAGGTCCCTCCCTTTTGTGGCGATAGTCTTCTTTTTTTCTGATTATACTATTATTTTCGCCGCGGAGCCCCCACAAAGGCTTTGCGGAGCACCCTTTGAGTAAAACTGCTCTAGAGAGTCTGGAGAAAAACGCACACATTTAGAATGATTAAGTGCATTCGGAAAAACAGCACAGGGACAGGGTTTATGTTTCTGAGAGCGGGGCAGTGCTGCTGCCAATAAGCTAACCTCGAAAAATAGTGGTACTTATTGTGTAATTATACTCTCCACACCATTGATATTACAGCAATGGAAGGGGGTAATTTTATTGTATTGACAACATACCCATAGCGGTATCTAGAACAGAAGTAAAAGTTGGAAATGCTTTTGCCAGTTCTCCCACTTTATACACATAAATTGACAGGTTGGCAGCGGATATCCCCGAAGTGGACGCGATACATTGGCGTACAAAATTATTTTATAGATGTTAATAACAATTTCGAGTAAATAGTTTAATAAATTGTGAATAGCTGTTGAAATTTTGTAAAATTATAATTTGAATATTATAATACACGTTTAATAATTATTTATAATCCATAAATACATGCGATTGTCCGGTTCCGCCGATAACAATTTAAAATTACTTATTCTATGAAACGACACTGGCAGGTAAACATTACTGTGAAATTCTCGGAGCCGGCCGACGTGGTTTGACGTTTACCCCCTCTCTACCTACCAAAAGACTTTTCAACTTTTACTTTCTCTATACTAAACGTTCTGAGAGCTATGGTCCGAATTAAATTTTAACTGACAACTGATACTTAAAAAGGAATTATACGCTCGTCATACGTGAAATTTTCTAAGGCCTTTGTTTTCATATGTAAAAAATAAGAGATCAATGGACGTTAGGGAAAAGTGTATTTATGAATTTATTTATCTACGAAGAAAAATGTTGTAAAAGAAGAGACGTTCCTTATGCAAAGTAAATTACTTTACCAGGCAATAAAACAAAATTATTACGATAAATTCAATATATTTTTATACACAAGTTCGATTGGATATAAATTACAATCATTAGATATAAATTAGTAGGTATTCATTCATTTTGTAGATAAAAAACTTGGTGTATGATACTGTTTATCGGATTATGAATGTTAAAAATGGCTTCTATGAAAAATTATAAAGAACTAGTTTACAACAGATAATACTTTTTTTAATTAAATATATTTTACAAATCTTTAATTTTTTTAAGAATTAAATAATTCTTACACCCACCGAGAATTCTATGAGAATAAATAAAATGAATATGTAAACAAGATTGTTTATGTGAGTGTGTGGATGTGTAAGAATGTACGAAAATTTTGTAAATTTGTACAAAAGCAACAAATTCATAGATTCGTTTTTAATTTTTGCATATTTACAATTTTTACCAGTTTATTAAAGATTAAAGAGTAAAATTATTGAATAAAATGCTTGAAAATTATTATTGAGTTTTTCATATTACCTACATAGTAAATAAAATAAAATAGAATTTCTTGCTAAATTGTACAAATTTACTATTAACTTATGTCTACCAATATAAAGGACGACTGAAAATAATCGTTTAATAAAATGGTAACAATAGACAAATCCATTTGAATTAATAAAATACCAGCATAAATATAAAAGTGTCATTTCAATCGTCCTATATACTTTTTATATACAGTTATAAAATGTTTTTTATTCTATATTCTTATAATAAAGTTTATTTGATCGTATAAATGAAATACTTTCATGTAAGGAAACGTTTTTATTAATACTGGAAGCAGTATCCAAGAAATTTAGGCATGTAGATGTAATTTAAAATTATTAATCAATAAGTTTTGAATTTAATGTTTTTTTTATTAACATACTATTCTTTCTAAATAAATGATGAAATTAGTGTATATACCAGTGACCTTAGTTACCTAATAATAACAATAAAGGCAGAATTTGTATTCTTCATTGTACTCGTTTGAAGAAAGAATAATCTAAAGAAATAAGAATACAAGTAATAATATCTAGCAATATTTAAATGAAGTGGAAGCATGGAGAACTATTATTACAAAATTGATAGGAAAAATTAAGTAGAAATGAGATGTCTATGAAGTGACAAAACAAAATAAAGAAGTAAAGAAAAATTGAAATAATGTACAAAACTAGAGAGAAGAATGCAACATAACAAATAAGTAGAATAAATGAAAAGGTAGTAAAATTCTTCCTAACGAAAATATTTAAATTATTTAAAAATATTTAACTAGGAGGATAAGCTAATAAAAAAAGTAAATTAATCGTGAAATATCATTTATAAAACAGGCTCATCTGAAAAGACTAAAATATCGCCAAACTTAAGAAAGCCAACAATAATTAGGCTGATTGTAGCCAACCCAACAGTTGTAGTTAGAGTGAGGATAAGGAGACAGAAAATAAGTTGTTTGTAAAATTACTAGATTCGAAATTCCCGCACTTTCTTCGGGCATGAGTGGTGTAAATAAACTTTTTGTTTAAAGATTTCTAATTCTAAGCAAAAAAGTTGAAATTCGTTAATATTTGTTTAATTAATAGGTAAAATGCGTGATAACATTGAAGTATATAGATACTTATATTACTTGAAAAATTATAAGCACAAAATTTCTTGATACCGCCTCGAAAGATGGCTGTGTTTTACACGATAAAAACTAATCTAATTTTTAACCTTGTTATTTTTTTGTAAGGTCAAGGGGTAAACGCCGCTAGTCACAATTCTAACATCATCAGGGTTATTTGTATATTTATTACAGTCTGTTTCGGGATTTGTTATTAACTATATATTATTATTTGTCGTATTTGGGTTCATTAAATCAGGTATCACAAAAACTTTTTCAAACTACTGGGATAAAAATATTTCATCACAATACTTTGGATTTTATTGTTTAGGGATCGCCTGTAATTAAAATTATTAATAAATAAAGTAAGAATCACAATCAAGGTACAAATAATAGTACTATATTAGGATTGACATGCAATTATTTGAAGTTTTTTTTTACTAAACATGCAACTTTTATATAAATATAATATATAAATAATCATTGTATATATAATTCTTATACAAGAAGTTGCTTTTATAGGTTGACATTCAGTAAAGTCAAACAATGACAGTTGACAATGATAAACTACGGAATTTTGTAACGCCACAATAAACTTAGTCTAATCCTAAGTTTTACAGAACACTATAAACGAAAACTGCTTCTTAATAAATTAAAAAAATGAGATCAAATATTCCTGTAACTTAAATTTAACTCCACCTATGCAGCAACTTCTGTAAACATATAAACACTTCGAATAAAGGATGTCTTTTTAATTGAAATATCCTAGATAGTGGGGCGCAGTACTACCACCACTGTAGCTGCTCTACGTGTACGTGCATTCGTTGCTTGATCCACAATATGGCCAAGTACACGAGGGATGTAATTGTTACAAAGTAGAGGAAAGCAGAGAGCATACAGCCAGTGCCGTGCTCGTTTAGGTCCTTTCCAAATCTGAAAAGTAAAAAGCAATCAAATTTTTTTCATTCAATTTAGATCCAAGATTGGCTCGAGACTCCATCCTGAAGGTTAATTTTAATGTAGGGGAAAGGGGTGTACCTAGGGTTGCCAACTTTTTTAATAAAAAATAACGTATAAATTGTTTGAATAGGAAAAAATAAAGTATTTGGAAGAAAAAAAGTATTTAAAAGGAAAAAAAAAGTATTTTTAAAAATTACGTTTTTATTGCTTTAAAAACATATTTTTGTAAGCTTTTAGCATATGCTAACTTTTTTTTTTGCCATCTCTGAAAGTTTCAAAACTTGTTTTACAATTGTAACATTATTTTAAATTTATCGACGCTCTGTTTCTCTCTTTTTTGTTACTTCAGATTCATTGCCGAAAAAACTGTCTCAATGAAAGTTGAAGTGGTGATAACAGAGTAAATAATAATATTTACTTAAAAATTGATTCTGCAATTATTATAATTTAACAAAAACAAGGGACAATTTTCATTCAATTTCGTCGATAGTGACATCTATGATATATGGGTAACCCATAATGAGTGTTTCACAGTAAACATTGGAAATAAAGTATTTCCGCATACTTTTATTTTTATGCAAAAGTATAAAGTATATTTATCGAAAATAAAGTAGGATACGTTATTATAAAGTATGGTTGACAACCCTAGATGTACCTTGAGACGGTTTTACCTTGGGACAGTTGCTCTCAAAATTCAACCACTCTAGCGGTAACTCTCAAAACTACATATTACTATCCTTTGTGTTGCCCCCCAATACCATTCTATTACAGTCGTTGTTCCGAGTTCAAATGTCAGATTTATCGTTTTCGCGTCCTGAAAGTAAAATTTTGCGGCTACTCCCAGCTCGTATACAAACAAGGTAAGCATAATTTATTCACTTTACCCCATGTAGTACTATCGGAGTGTTGTTTAAGCAAGCAGTCCATGCAAGAAAATATTGAAAAGTAATTTAGTTTTTTAAGGTTAAGAAATTCATTTTGTGAAGTGTGCTAGGTTGCACCTTAGGACACTTTGCGGGTTGTACATTAAAAACTAAATAACTTTTACAATAAATTGCAATTTCACCACTGTTACAGATGGGCAAAAGTGTCACAGGAAGAAAGAGGACGAAACCAGTAGCAGAAAATGTTGAGGCGGCTGTTAAGGATGTTATTACAAACAAGAATATATGGATTATCAAAAAGCACTCTGGTCTGGTCAAACTGATTTCAAATACGAAGCCAACAATGCGACGCAAGAGGTCTTCGCCGTTGAGCAAGAAGAAGAAAGACTGCACAATGGAACTTTGGTGTGACCGTGGACGAAACGAAGAAAATAGCTTTCCAATATGCCGAAGCAAACAAAGTCAAATATCCAGAAAAATGGAAAGAACGTGGATACGCAGGAAGAAAGTGGTACCAAACTTTTCGTAATTAATATAAAAACAGAATATCTCTTCGAAAACCGGAGTCTACTAGCCTAGGTCGAATGACATCTTTCAACAAACCAAATGTTAAAATATTTTTTGGGAAGCTTCAAGAAATCTATGAAAGGTACTCCCTTTAACCTCAAAACGTGTGAAACCTTGACGAAAAGGGTTGCTCTACGGTTCACACGCCGTCACGTGTGCTAGGTAACACAAAGGCGAAACAAATTAATTGGAGCAGCTACCTCCGGAGAACGTGGAATAAATGTAACGGTGATAGCTTGCGTCAATGCTGCTGGAACATTTATTTCCTCAGACATCATATTTCCTCGTGTTCATTACAAAGAATACATGATTAACAATGCAACAACCGCTACCCTTGGTATGGCAACTTCTAGAGGTTGGTCCAATGCAGAACGATTTGTGAAGTACCTTCTCGTGGCAATGAAGTGTTACTGCTTATTATGGACAACCACGAAAGTCACCTTTCATTGGAAGCGATAAATTTGGCGAAAGAAAACGGCATCGTTTGTCTCACGTTTCCCCACCACACTAGCCATAAACTCCAGCCACTGGACCGATCTGTCTTTGGGCCTCTCAAAGCCTTTTATAACAAAGCTGCAAAGGATTGGATGATCAACCACCCCGGAAAGCCTATTTCTATTTACGACGTCTCCGCATTGTTGGGAAATGCATTCCCTCTGGCATTCACGCCAAATATATCATCACCGCGGGATTCAGGGCTGCTGGCATCTGGCCCTTTAATGCAGAAGTGTTCGGAGACGATGAGTTTTTACCTGCTGAAATGACAAACAGACCATACCCTGCAGCAGAAGCAGCAGTAGCAGCTGAAGTCCAACCGCCGGATGAAAGTGAGGTGAGGCAAAATAACAGAGAACAATCCAGAGAGATACCTTCGACAAGGAGTGCATTGAAACCATCTATAGCTGTCACTCCGGAACAAATTCGTCCATTTCCCAGAGCACCACCAAGAAAATCTTGTGGTAGAGGACGAAAACCTGGGAGGTGTATGATTCCCACTGACACGCCAGAGAAGCAGAGAATTGAAGAGGAAAACGGTAAGAAAGACAAGTTATGCTAAAAGAGCTGTAGAATTTTCATCATCCTCATCTGATGAAAAATTACCTGACTTTGGCGATAGATCAGGAGAGAGTCAGTTCTATTCTAGTTCTGAAGATGAGGATTCCTCTAATTTCTTTCCAACTAATGAAGATCAGCTGATTTTCTCCAAAGGCAGCTGGGTTCTAGTTAAATTTCAAATCGCCGGTAAAACTAAAGATGTTTACTACATTGGTTTAGTAGAGGAACAAAATAAATCTGGACCAGATGTGACCATAAAGTTTCTCAGGAAGCAAATAACCTATTTTGTATTACCCAGCGTCGACGACATCAGCAGTGTTAATCTGTGCAATATAGTAAAAGTATTGCCTACTCCAACAATACGTCGTGAATTTCATTTCTTTAACATTTCATTCCCACAGGATCTTAATTTGAAATAAATTGTATTCAGTATGAATTATGTTTAACATATTTTTATAATAAAAAAACAAATACATACTACCTAAAATTATGGCTTATTTTAACATAATAAAAACTATGATGTTCAATTATTTACCATGTCCCAAGGTAGAACCCACGCTGTGCCAATGTAAGACCATAGGTTGTACCATGGGACAAAAATCACTAACTACTTGAACAATTAGTAGTGGCTTACGCACTGATGCTGTCAAAATTTATTGTTGGCTGACAGATGCCTACAGTTATAGCCTCTGCAGAGCTAAAAGGTTTTTGTATTCGAACGAAAGATGTCAGCACAATAACTCGAGAAGTAAAAAATGTCCCAAGGTACAACCCTATCCCCTACCTATACATTTTTTACATGTCAGATATCAAAACATATTGGAAAGTACGAAATCTGCTGAAAATGTCAAATAATTCCTGTTACACCGGAATTTCTATCAGCATATGTCGAAGTTTCAAATCAAAAACAACCCATCAAAAATAGCAATCTAATTACGCAGTGATGCGATAAATAATTTCTGTTTATCCAGAGTAATCAGTTATCACGAGTGATATCTTTTGCATAACCAAGTGTCAAATATTCATAGATGAATGCTTTTTATTCCAATTTTAGTTTAGCATCCTTAGTAAATCTTTTCTCTAGGGACAGAAACTTCTGAATAACCTTAGTCAAAGAATCACCTAATGAAGATATACTATAATCAAATTGTATAAGGAAGCTTGACCTCCAAAACACCTGATTCATTCCGCCGAGTGGAGTTAGAATAAGTTTTTTCACAAAGTTTATCTTCTGGGGATATATGTTTTTCTTTAAAAGTTTCCAAAATTGGAGATTTAAAGCATTAAAATCAGAATTTTGTGAAAATTACGATAAGCTTAAATTTGAACAGGTCTGAAGATAAATACATGTTGATGTTAAAATTGTTTAATGGCCAAAGGGTAAACTATAAAATCACAACGCCTGGCGATTTTTTTTAAAACTCTCTACATGTTAGGGACATATTTTCTTTTGTTATTACTCACCTAGCTGCCTTGTTTCCGTCAAAAGCACTATCATAGCTTTGCACGACAAGTCCATCATATTCCCTCTCCGCATCATGCTGCGGAGAATCATTCTGCATGTTCCTCTCTTTATTACTTTTCTCATCCTCATAGTAGAACGACAGCTTGTAGGGTTGGTTTGTAGCTGGTTCAGGTTCGAAGTCCTGGGTCATTGGGGCGTGGATGGGTTGATTATCTTCGTCGTCCACGTATACGGTCTCGGTTAGGGGCGTTTCGAATAAAATTGATGATGATTGGGCGTTAGAATTGTGATTAGCGGCGTCTGTCAGTCAGTAGCATTTCTTGGTGCACGCGCATTTACGCACAATATCGATGTCTTTGGTGTATCGGGTGCCGTCGTTGCATATCAGACGGACCTAAAAATTAACATGAAATTCATATGAAAGAAGCTGGAATGAATATTCTGGTAGTATAAAGAAATACTTGTTAAGAGGAACCAGAAACAAAGTAGAAGGTAGCAAAAGGCAGTTACTCTGTAGAAGCATTAAACAAGGTAATAAAATCAATGTTGTATGTCACGTTGCATGGAGCTAATATGAAAAAAGGAATATGCAAAGAGTTAAGTGATATAAGCTACCTGGTCTACTCCAGGAAAATGATTTCTGGGGAACAATTTAATTTTTATTAGTGTTTTAGCTTTTATATTTCGGTTGTTGGTTAATCATATGGTAGAGATAGAAACATACTATTTTATAGTTCAATATAAAAAATAAAGGTTAACCTAGAAATTGAACAAACTGATATGAACTTCATGTAAACTTACCTTTCGCCTTTTACTCTTTCTTGCGTGGCAGCAGCTGGTGCCGCAGCTACCGACACATTTTGCCATTTTTAAAGGTTTTCTTGATCGACATCCATGTTCCGAATAATGTTCTCTAACTTGCTCTTTTCTACAAGTTGGAGCTAAACAAATAAAACACTAATTAGTATATATGATAACATTTTCATAAAACTACTTTGCAACTTTTCACTTTGAAAATTTTCAAATTGTTTTTCAAATTTTACTTTTTAATTCATCAAATTTCTCTTTTATAAAACATAAAATTTGTAAAATGAAAAGTTGCAAAATAGTTTTATGAAATAGGTCCCTGGACTACCTAATTACCTACACTAGTTTTATTTAATTGTTAGGCGTTAATATGCCTTAATAAAAGATTGGTTGTCCCAAAAGTTTAGTAGAATACGAGGTTTGTCTATTAAATACAAAGATACTATTTGTTATTTAACAAAAAGCCGCCAATGGTGACTTTGAAGATGTTTGAATTTTTCATGCCTGGCCGTTTAATTGTCAGTTTGGCATGCAGAAAATAAGTCGCAGGTTTTAATTTGGTTTTTGTTTTCTTAAAAATTGAATAGAAAGTCAAATTGAGCGTTTGAATTCAGTGAATAAAGTTGCACATGTGAAAGAATATGTTAGACTTACCGAGGTTTCAGTTCAAGAACCGAAGAAAGTGTGGAGACTGTTGAAACAAATTATAGTTGAATAGATGTATATTGACAAACACAAATGTACCAATATCGCAGCATAAAAAATGATTGTGACAAAATGGTCCATCTTACACCAATCCAAAAAGAATGGCACCTTGATATTTGTGCGTACATTCTCAAATAATAGTTTGAGACAAAAGGTCAATTCAGTGGAAAATGTCATTATCTCCAAGAAAGAAAATCAATTCATAACAATTAGTCCAAATTCAAACCACTTTTTTTGAAGGCGTAATTTTGGAAGAAAATATTTCATGTACTTTCAAGTTTAGAAAACAAAAAAAAATGTAGGAAACTGATGTTATTATTTATCTACTATATTTGTTCACATATATCATGTTCACTGATAAGTAGATATCCTCCTTTTTTGCCAGACTTTGTACCAGAGGCGACTTATTTCACCACTAAAGTGAAAACGATGCATTAAGTAACAACGCTTTAAATTAAGTGAATCTGGAGGTATGTTGACAGCTGACCGAAGACGATTTGTTTTATGCCTTTAATAAGTAAAAATAACAGCCTCAGAAAAAGATTAGAATAATAATTATAATATACCTACATACTAGTAAAGATGAGTCGTTGTATTTATTAGATAGACCTCTCTGGCTTGTGAACTCGAATTTATTAAGAAATAAATTATTTTGATTAAATAAACATCATCATAACAGAAATCAAACAATACACTTTAGTTCTACACAAATAATATTATATCCATTGGAACAACCTATCATTAATCAAATTATCAATTGCCATTATTTAATTATATTAAACATTTAAAATTTTAAACAAATCTTTGAAAAACTTGATGAATAATTCAAGGGCTGATCTCTTTGTGTTGAGCCTCACTACCCATACAGCACACATTATTTCAGAAGTGTTTCAGAAATATTTCAAACGTTTCCAACATATAACATTTCAAGCGCAAGTTTCTGAAATATTTTTGTTAAATATTTCACTGAAAATGTTTCTAAAACATGGTATAAATGTTACACAAAAGGTTACTAAACGGGATATATTGTAAACGGTCAACACTTAATGAAGAATTTCTGATTTGTAAGAAGAGGATGGGTAATGTAGTCATTTTATTTCATCCTATGTCCAGTCAAATAATTAGAGGTTTGCGTTTGTTGTCGGTTTTTGCCATTTGATTTTTTTTTTGTTATTTATGCGTTATATGGGAAGCAGAATATGTCTTTAGAAATTGACGTGAGTTTACTACGGAAATAAAAAGCTTGTAAGTTAGGTTAATTTACTTTATCTCATTCACTGAAACGAGTGATGCCATTTCGTTTATCAAATTTGCTGTCCCTCCATCTAGTTTTATTTATTATTTATTACTATTACTATGTAATATTTCTGAAAGATTTCAAATTTTAATTTTAGGAATATTATATTTACAAGATATTTTTACGTATCAGGCATATTTCAGAAATGTTTCTGGGACGTTTCGTAATATTTATACAACATTATTATTTTTATTTCAATGTAACATTTTTGAAATATTTTCGAAATGATTTTGTACTGTATGGGTAGTAGGCTATGATATTTTGGCCAATTAACGATCTACTTAAAACACTGTCTAAAGAAGACTACCAACGCCTAGGATACGCGAACAACTTATCGTCAGAGGGCGATCCGCAGGTACAGTTGTCCATTAACGTACAAAAAACGACAGTCGTGCCATTCACAAAAAACGGGTATTTTATGCGGTTATTTTATTTGTTACAAAAGCCACCAAAATCATCTTCGATCAAAGGCCGATGTGGATTTAAAAAATTCGCATGCAAAGCTACAATAGCTTTTGTAAGCTCTAGAAGAACATGAGAGTAAAACTTGGGTTTAAACCCCAAAATGACCACATGAGGTGATACGACCCTATGACGCAGTGGAATATGGGTAACCAAAACTGTGCAGCCAAGTACCATAGGGAAATTTACTGGCATTTTGCGACTTGCCTATCTATGAGTGTTACAGAATTCATGTTCCATGCGTCCTACATCAATTGCAGCAATGAAGGTACTATTAAACCTTACGTCACTGCACATCTTCATAGAGTTGACTATAAAAATTAATAATATCAGCAAGTAAAAAAAGGATAATATTCTAGGAATGCTTACTCATATAGTCACAACCACGCACAAATTTTAAAGAATTTTCAAATGCAAATATGTTGAATTAGGCTGACAGTTCAAAATCCAATGAAAGGGCCGTTGTTGGAATCTTTGGACACAAGTCGAAAACAACAAATTCGCTGAGTGTAGGAGAGTATGCAACAGTGTTTCAAGACAAACGAATAGCCATACAATACTGTCCAAAAGAAATCATTAAGCATCAGGCAACACCATTGGCTATCTACTAACTTTTATGGCTAAGTAGCTCTAAAGGAAATTATATCACCAGAAATCAAATCACGACTGGTGAAAGACTACTTAGAAGATCTAACAGGGCTAAGCAGCCAAAAGAAAGTGACTTTACCAGGCTGTGAACGATACTATGGCAATGAATACGCCAAGGAACTAGCCCGAAGTGGATTAGATATACCATGACAGGCTCCAAACATTTTTGTTGCTAAGGTAGTGAGCATCCATCAAATAAATGATGCAAAAAGAGTCTCAATAATAGTTGAAAAACTATCCAGAATTCAGACCGTTGGCCAATTTCATGAAAGATCAAAAATTAAATCCAAAGGATAACAGTAGGTCTTCTTACCTAACACTGACGCCTAAGAACGCACGTGAGTATCATTAATCTAGCAGAAGAAGCAACACTGCTGGTTTTATGAAGAGGAAATATCAAGCCACGTCCTAATATATACTGTGGAGGTTCTGTGAAGAAGAAACATCAACCCATATCTTTTTCTTATCATTCTCAAAATTGGAGGTATAAACGGTTTGATTTCTAATTATTAGGCTCAATAAAAAGAGAATGTCCTACACATTACATAATAATTTTTAAGTATAATGGCAAATGGACAGACAATTGATATTTTGTATTTAAGATAACCTACACTATTTAGCGCATGTGTGTATAAGTAATGTTTTACTATAAAAACCTTCATTGTGACATCTTTACACCAACGCTATACTAAAGCAACATTCACCACTATTTCGTTTCCTTTATCCATTTAGTATCTCTTTAGCTAAAGCAAAAAGTTAGTACTTAACCACCAAATACTTACACTCCTCCTCACCTTGTTCGCAATATTTTCCTTTGAAGCCTGGTCTGCATTTGCACATGTATTCTCCGTTTTTAGTAGGAATGCATTTGCTGTCGTGTTTGCAATGGTTACTCAGGCATGGATCCGGCGGACTAGGCGGTTCCCCGATCATACCTTCCATCTCGTCTTCTTGTTCCTCTTCTTCGCGGTCTTGATCTATGATTCCGCAGCCTGGTTGGACTTTGAGTTGGGTCTGAGCGTTACCGAAATCTACTGGTTTATGATTGATCCAAACTTCCTTCATGCAACCTAAAAAGAAAAACAAAACCATATAGTTATTTATTTAGCAGATTAATACGATAAATTCCATCAGTTATTAGAGAGGAACATTTTCTAACAAACTCACCATGAAAACTGGTCAAATTTCTCAAATGCCATTGGGTAAAAGCTTCATGTCCAGCTTCTGAAGGTATTCCTCCCAAGTACATCGGTGTCGTTAACCTCAAAAACTCTTTAGAGCCTTCGTTTATTATACTTCTAGCTAAACCTCTATCAACTCTCAAGGTAAAGTTCTTTTTAATAGCTATCAGTTCTGCTATATGGTATTCACCATCTGCCACCATTTCAAAACTGAGGAAAAATATTCGACTTAGTTCAATAATACACGGTGGTCCAGTTTATATCATCAGGATTTTACCAGCCGATAGTTTACCGAATGATATAGGTAGTTTTTTCAATAAAATATGGTTTATTTCCTTTGGATGTACAGGATGTTAAAAGTTTTTTTTCTAAATAGTTATTTTATTAATATCTAAAAAGGCTTTGACCGAATTTAATGAACTCTTCACAGTTTGTTGACAACTTTTTGAGGTGTCTTTTGGATACATTACAGTTGATTAAGTAATTCCAGAGAGGTTGCTCACATGGCACTTCTATTAGTTTTCGGCACAGAAGATTTTAAATTTTTCAATAAATTTTTTAAATAAACCAACTAAAAATACAACTATTTGTCTCCTAAATTTTTTTTGAGGAAAAAATTAAAACTAAAAAGTGAGGTACGTCTCTGAATACCTGAAACCTGTAAAACACTGCACATCAAAAAAAAAGCAAAATTGGATAAAGTGGCTTTAATTTTCGATAAACTATCAGTTGGTGATATCCTGACAATATAAACTGAACCACCCTGTATAAAGGAATAATATAAAGGTTGAGCCAATTACTTCCGTTCGGAGCATACTTAGTTGCTAAACTTCAAGTTTAAAAAAAAGTTCCTACAGAGCAACCAAGGAGCTTCATTTATAAAATTAATTGGACTGCATAACCACAGAACAGGTATCAAGGTAATTTTTGTATTTTTTTTTTTTATTTAAATACAAATTTTGTTTTTTGAAATCGGATGCGATAGGTATAATTTTTTTTCTAAACAATCGAATAATTAGTAACCACCCCAAAAAATTATTGTACTTTCTAAAATATACGAAAACCCATTGTTTGTGGTAAATCTTTTTCTAATAGAATTTTTAAATTTTTTTTAATTTGATACAATATTTTAAAATTTAGAAATGCATTCATCACGGCTGTCATTGAATATAGAATAAAATATGTCAACAACTAAATTAAATTTTGTGATGAAGGACTTATTGAGGTAATAATTAAAACCACTTAGTTTTTATAATTCTTCTGACTAAAATAAAGAAACCTTTAGAAACCAAATGGGATTGTTATGTCAAATGAAATTTAATTCCTTCTGTAAAAATGAATTTCTGTGAACTAATATAAAACGTATTGTTAGGGCATTGTTAAAAGAATGTAAACGATAAACAATGCTACAGTCCCGTAATTGGTTAAATGTATGCTGGCCAATTAAATCTTGCGATCTTATTTTCTGTAAGATATCTCTGTGTGACATCAAAAATACAGTGTACAATAAACCGATAACTAGAAAGGAAAATGTGGATAAGAAAATATATGAAACAAAAATGGAAGGCACTTAAAACACCTTCGCTAATAATTTCTATAGACCAACGAACGTTGTTTATAGGACGTATCATTTACAATAATTAACTCAATACCTGTTAAAAACATACATTTTTTTAACCGTAGATAAAAACCGAATACGCCTCTGCGCAAACGCGAGCCTTTAGTAACAAACTATTATTTAAAACGCAGTCTCGCCGGAAGTGGGCAATTGTAAGCCGAAGAATCTTGACGTACGAGTAGTTACGTTATTCGAAGTAATAATATAACAATGGCTAATGGCCGTAGTAGTCGACGCCGATGACACCAAATTAAAAAAAAAATAATATAACAATATATAATAATACTCTCCCTAATTCACCCCCTTTCGAGTGAATTTTAACCCTTAAGCCGGCTAAGCAATTTGTGTAGGGGAAAGGATGGCTATTATTATAATTTTCAGTAGCGCTCCGGGCGACTTAAAGATGATTAATGGCCTGATTTGAGTTACATGTGAGAAAAACCCGGAAAACCCCATCCACCATCATCGAAAACGGTAACGTATGGCGATTTTTATAATCTGAATATCATAACAACAGAAATTAAATTTCTGCTAATACGGCATCCATCAAATCGTATAGAGAACGATGCAAATAAATTCACATGGTCTCTTGTACGATTCGAAGTCGGTGTCTCTTTACCACAAAATTGGCTCTTAAATAAATGCGGCGCCGTATATACCTACGCTACTATAGTCACACCATATAAAGCATAAACCTGCCAAAAACACAGCTACAAGGACCAAAATCATTGGTCTGAGCCCAGACAAGGCGTGACTTAATAAATCGCGTCAATGACTTCATAAAGACGCTAAAAACTCATTTTTAAACATTCATGCCGTTTTCATCACTCTCACAGCTTACCGAGAACTCTTAGATCTAGACCATAGAGGTCATCAGGTAAAACCGCAAAGAGAGGTAAATCATCAAAAATCAGCAAATACAAATATCATCACTTTTCAATACCGGTTCGAAGTACATATAGTCCAACTTATTTTAAAAATGCAGCTTCTTTTTTCCATATTTCCATATTCTATATTTCCATATTTATATTTAATTTGTTACTTTTCTTACCTGTACATTGTTGATACCGGATAGTTACCAATATCGTAACTGACACGTATTCTACCGTTAAACAGTTCAATCGCTAAATGTTCTTGATGACCGTCATATACAAGTATACCATTTTCTTGTTTTGTAGCAAAAATTATGGTCACATTAGCTTCTGGTTTAGTTCTGAGGGGTTCAAGTTCGACATAAGATGTGTTGTGGACAAAACTCAAACTTGTGAGATACTCGCATCTTTTTCCTTCAAATAAAAAAGTAAAATTCAAAATGATTTTATTTAATTATTTATTGCTGATTAGTTAACTTACCTGAATATCCGGGTGCACATTTGCAGATATAGTCATTGGATCCCGATGGTTGGAAGCAAACGCCATGGACACAATCGTGATGTTGACAGGGAGACGTTTGAGGGTACATCATCGAAACGAAGGGGGTTATTTCACAGAATTTTCCACTGTATTCGCCTACACATTTGCAGAAATACTCGTTTACACCATCTACACACGAACCTCCGTTCTATAAAAAGACAGTTGCTTTAAAACTCCATGAAGCAAACAGAGAGTGAATCTAAAAGTTACACCCCTTTAGAGTACAGTATAGGTTCAGGGCTTAGCATAATTATCATAGTGCTCTTATAGTTATGAATAGAAAAATAAAAAGGTAGGAAAACTTCACACAGTTTCATTCACAAATATATTTCATAAAAACAGCACACATTCAACAACATTTTTGTTTTCCAACGAGCCGAATATTTACTGCATTTTGGCTACAGAGGAAGGCAGCCATCATGGAGTCGATAAGAAGGTAATTAGATCGGAAGATTCGCAAGTTGACCAAGCTGGTATCAAAACTCAAAAAAGAGAGTGGCTTTAATTTTGTAGTCTTTACTGCTTCATCCTGACTGTAAAAAGGGGTTCAAAGCAAAAATATGTTTTGATGTTTAAGAGAAGTGGGGTAGTGTCAAAGGTTGGTCGTTGTGAGGTATAATTAGATGAAACCACATATCCAAAACTACTTGAATTAAAAAGCAAAAGAGCTACATTGGAAAAGCTGTTCACATAATTTGACTATATTCAAACAGAACTCAAATTAATTACCATGTCATTGATGAAGAACATTGAACAATGTTTGAAGATAACTATTATTATTTATTAGCACAAGTAGATGAGATTATAGAAAATTTGTCAGGTAAACAATCCAGTTTTCAAGGAATTAAATTTCCTCCAATTAGTATTCCTCTATTTGATAGTAACCTTTACAAATGCAACAATTTTTTTAGCTTCTTTCAATCTCTCATTGGTAATGATGCCCCTTTAAGATCATTACAGAAGTCTCAATACTTAAAATCATCCCAGAAACAAATTACAAGGCAGCTTTATATCTTTTATATAATCGTTATCAAAACAAAAATAAAATCACTTTTTGAATTCAAAAAGAATGCCATGCTCAATAAAAATTTTTTTAGATACATTTTAAATACACGTTGGTGTGCCTTAAAAGCATTAGGTTTGTCCTAAAAGTCAATTTTAGATTTTTTTTTAATTTCTCTCTCATCCACAAAGTTAGACAAAACTATAATAAGACACTGGGAAGTTATAAAGTATCTGAGAATCAGAAACTACACACGTTTGGACTCTTTTTATTTTTTTTTTAATTGACATTTTATAAAATAAATGTGGCAATTGGCCGCGCATAATCTTCTCGGTCTCAGAAACATTTACAGCAATAAAAAATCGTTTTGACAATTCGCAAAACTCACAAATAAATAGAACTTCTCTTAATCAAGTACAGTAACAAATTACCTAAGTAGTGGGGAAAGTAATATATTACACATGAGTGGAAACGACTTAGTACAGTGATTAATACCGTTATTAGAGAAATACAAAGAACTATTGAAAGTTCAAAAGAAACATTTGAAAACGAAGTAAACAATTAGATAAATTAATTATACAAAATCTGTTCGAGTTTACCGTGGTATACCTCAAAGTAGTCTTTGTAGACCTTTATTTATTAACAATGTAGATTATTACCTGGCACATGTGGTTCTCACAATCGTTGATGTTGATGGTACAGTTCTCGCCCTTAAAACCAAGTAGACACTCGCAAGTGTAATGACGATCGTGATCAACGCAACGAGCGTTATTTTTACAAGGGTTATATTGTTCAGTACAAAAGGGAATTTTTCGCTCGCAGTAGTCACCCATGAATCCAGCGGGGCATTTGCACTGGTAGTTGGAAATGAGGTCGACGCAGGTGGCGTTGTTTTGGCATTTGTTGTTGAGGCAGTCGTCGATGTTGTGTTCGCATCGCATCCCACTAAACCCTGGGAGGCATTGGCAGCTAGAAAAAAGACGAATTATAAATAAAATAGTTCATACACTCATATTTATTATTGGATTTAATGCTTTGCTAGTTTGGACAAATATTACACACTTTAAATTGTGAAACTCCATTTCAATCTCTGAAACAACAAAAAAGATGTAAATCCCTGAATCGAACCTCTGTGAACAAGGATGTTACAGGTTCTTAATTATTGATACCTGGACGAGCCATGTGTACCTAAGTTAAGGTTACCCCGACAGTACAAACGGGTCAGTTGGACGTCTATTCGAATAGGCTATAGACACTTACACTTACATGGATCTAAAATAGATGTTCAATGAACTATATGTGTGTTGTATGTGTGAGAAAAATAAAAAGTTCTTAATTAGTTGAGTTGACTGCTAAGAGTTTTTTTTTGCGCCCTCCCAGGTACATAAAGCACGAGCCTTTACTACTTCGCTGTTTTAACTCATTTATAATTATTTAACCATAATAGACTATCTGGATATACTTTATAATTTTTTAACTGTCTTTAAAAATGAATTTTGGTTGATTATTGATACAAATCTAAAGAGTAGAGGTACCGCAGAGTCTTTACGGATTTGTTTTTTCTGTATTACGTAGAATCTAAAACCCCTTAAACCATAATGACATTGTCTGATTATCAACTTTATAGTAGACACATGTTTGTGAGAATTTAGCACCATATTTATTGCAATTTAGAGGAGGATACTATAAAAGACATTAGAAAGGAACAAATGGAAAGCAGATAGAAACTATGGACAAAAAGAGCCTAATGAACGGTTCAATGAGCTGGCATTCAAGACTCGTACACAAGAATGTCTAAAACGTCCAAAAGAATGAACGATAACGGAATAATTAGGAACGACATAAAAGATCGAGGTTAGGTTTGGGGCGAAAAAAATGGTGAGACCAAGGAAGAAATAAAGAAGAGCGTAAGGGAAGACTTAGAAGAAAAGAGAATTACAGAGCTAAGGCAAATTAAAAATGTTTACAAAAGAACAGACCCTAAACGGCAATGAAAAATATATTTATTAAAAGTTGAAGATGTTTCTCACCTGAACCTCCCCTCTTCAAGCACTTTACAGGTTCCGTTGTTACGGCAGGGGTTGCCGTAACAAGCGTCGATCATAAATTCACAGTTTTTGCCGTGATATCCGGGGGCGCATTTGCAGTGGTAGTCTCCTTCAGACATGGTGAGGCATTTCCCTTCATTTTGGCAAGGAAATGTATAGCACGCGTCGCATTTCGCCAATATGTCGTTGCTGACTTTCCCTTAAATTAAAAAATAATAATAGAAACACTGAATATTATTTATCGGTTTCTCTACAGTGTGGAACAGCCAAATGGAATAAATTCAGTAGCTCCATTATTCTGCAGTTTTCTAGAAAATCCCGAAGCACGTCAATTTCGAATTCTAAAATGACATCTTGCGACGTAAAAATGTCATCCCTAAATTTATTTCCCTTCAGGTGACAGCTGCAACCCCTAAATTTTCAAATTGGAAATAGGAATTAACAAGAAAAAAGTTAAGTTTCTCCAGCGTAGGAAATTCGTTACATTATAATAAAACTTTTATAACTAATACTATTTGTCAATTTTAGGTTCTGAAATGCTAATAATAACAAAAATAAATGTCTCTGATTGCCGACATTATCTACAATAAGATAAAACCTTACTAATAAATAAGTACAATTTTTTGCTCGACAACTGAACGACAAAAACGAACACGCAGCAAAAAAAACAAACCTGAAATTCAAGAAGTTGGCCAATATTAGCTTTAGTGAAATTACTTAGTGACAGTAGTTAACAGTTCTCAGTGTTGAACTTTTTGCTTTAGTTTTCGTGTTGCAATTCAGAGAGGTGGTTTACCTAACATAAATGCATAAGATAACGATTCTGCGGATTATTAGTTATGGAGACAGAACACGAACGCAGGCCGAAGTTGGTCGCCTATTTCAAAAAAAATATCCGGAGTTGCCGCAGATATCTCAAGGTACCGTAAGTAAAATAGAGAAGCAGTTTCGGGAATGTGGACATGTAGGGCAGTTAAAGGGAAAAGCACTCAATACACTCAGTAATGATCAGAAATTGGATGTAATACTTATGATTGAAGAAAATCCACCTATGTTGAGTGGTCAAGCAGTTTCAGCGTTAAATATTAGCCATTCCTCGATTCTCCGCATATTGAAAGAAAATCAGATGCATCCATATAAACGTACCAACTAATGAGCTCGCGGAAGACAATTTTGATAGGCAAATTATCTTTTGTAAACAAATGATGCAAATGATAGATGACAATACTTTACAAATAGAAAAAGCATGAATGTACATTTACACTTCACGGTTATGTTAATCGCCAAAACTGTCGTTGCTGGTCGAGAGAAAATCCTCACTAGATAAACCCTAAGAAAGTTAATGTATGGACAGGAATAATTAGAGAAAAAAAATCATTGGTCCCTTCTTCATTGAAGGCAATTTGAACGGACAAACTTATTTAGCGCAACTCTAAAATAATGTTGTACCGACGGTGGCAAACTTGTATCCAACTGAAGGAAACCCTTAACTTCCAGGTAATGCAATATGGTTCCAGCAGGATGGTGTACCAGCACATTACGAAGTCAATGTCCGGCAATATCTCCACACAATCTTTCCAAATCGCTGGATAGGGAGACGTGGTTCTGTAGAATGGCCTGAACGATCACCTGATCTCAAGCCGTTAGACTTCTTCCTATGGGGTTATGTAAAAAGTAAGGTTTACAAAAACAAACCCGATGCTGTAGCTGACTTAAGAAGAAAAGTAACTGTTGAAATTAGGTCGATGTTAACTAACGTTCGAAGATATTTCTATTTACATCTAGAATGCTGCCAAGATGTCGAAGGCGTGTATTTTAAACATTTGCTGTATTGATAATGACTTTTTTTATTTTATTACATTTTCATTACGAAATAGCATTATTTATTCAGTTTTTTTTAAGTAACGAATTTTCTTCTCTGGAGAAACTTTTCTTTTTTGTTGTTAATAACTACAAAGAATTTAAAACCATAGTAGTTTTGAAGAGAGAATGAAAAACGGTTTCAAATAAAGTATCATAAACTCCTACTTCCAATTTGAAGATTTGGGGGTTGCAGCTGTCACCTGAAGGGGTTTAAATTTAGGGATGACATTTTTACATCGCAAGATGTCACTTTAGAACTAGAAATTGATCTGTCTCAGGATTTTCTAGAAAAATGCATAATAATGGAGCTACTGAATTTATTCCATTTGACGGTTCCACGCTATATATCTAAAACAGTAGAGTGGATGAAAATGTAATAAATTTTAATATTGGTTTGTTAACTTTAGCTCTGTAATGGGTGAAATTATAATAGAGAGAAAATAGAATGCTTAAATAAAGACACATTGTTATCAACACAACATTGAATAGAGAATAGAATAAGGACAAATACCATCTAAAATAAAACGATAGATCTACAAAACAGTTGTTAAACCAATTTTAATGATATGCTTCGGAAAACTGGAAATTCAGAAAAATAACTAGCAGAAAATATAGGTTGTTTAGGTGGAAGAACATCCACAACAGAACAGCGATAGGGTAAGTTAAGAAAATAAATAGGGAGAAACCGAGAAAATGGGAATAATGTTGGTACAAGGACAACCAAATTATAATCAATAAAAAAGAAAAAAGTACCATAGACTTTGTGGCACGCCTATTTATTTTTACAAATAGCGATACATGTAGTCTACATTTTAAGCAATTATCAAAATACTAAATTAAATCATCATAGGATTGAAAATGTCTCTAAATATAATTATATATATAGTAGATAGAAATTGTTTACCTTTACAAACGAAGAAAGAAGATGGAGTCGATAGAATTGATTTGTCTTTCATTGGAGGTGGTTCCGCGCAATGTGCTATTCCTGGTTCCACATAATCCACTTTGACCCAATCTGATAGCCATTTTAGAGTACAATCGCAGTATAATGGGTTTGCTCCAAGAGCACTGAAAATTAAAATATAATATTAAAATTTTCTATATATCTTTGAAATAGAAATACGTACATATGACTGATGGATTTTAAATTTGAGAAGGTGCCTTCGGGAATAAGGGAAATCTGATTACCATGAAGGGATCTAAAAAAATATGAACAAATTGTATAAATAATATTGTATTACTCTCAGTTAAAAGGTTTGATTTCAAAATTTGTTTGGAATAACTTTTAAACAGTTGATGTCGACTTACAAAATCCTTAAAGATACCAATCCTTGTAAGGAGTCCCTTTGGATACATTGTAATTTATTGTAGCTAATTATTAAAGTCGATAATTTTGAGAGATTTGTGAATGTATCATTCGAAAGCATTGCAATTCTGTTGTTGCTTAAATCCCTAAAAGAAAAACATATTATTTATTACAGATTGTACCAAAAATTTAAATTTTTTTGCTAATTTAGTAAAAAAAGCTTACAATCTCGTCAATGATTTCAAGTGTTTAATTCTGTCTCCTTGTATTCTATCGATATCGTTGAAGTCCAAATACAGCTCAGACGTTTCGGGTGGTATACCACGTGGAATTTCTTTTAGTTTTGCTCTAGAACACCTGACTACAGTTCCGGTACAAGAGCACATCGGTGGACAGTAGTTTTCGCCTAAACAACCTTGGTCACTTTCACCTAAACGTAAGAAAATTTCATGAAATTTTGATTTTCAGTGTAAATGTCAAAATTGTCGAATGGTTCAATTTTAACAGTTCTTTTCATACTTTAGTATTACATAATTTAGTATTACATACTTTAGTATTACATACTTTAGTATTACATACTTTAGAAGTACATACTTTAGTATTACATACTTTAGTATTACATACATTAGTATTACATATTTTAGTATTACATACTTTAGTATTACATACTTTAGTATTACATACTTTAGTATTACATACTTTAGTATTACATACTTTAGTATTACATATTTTAGTATTACATACTTTAGTATTACATACTTTAGTATTACGTACTTCAGTATAACATACTTTAGTATTACATACTTTACTTTAGTATAACATATTTTAGTATTAATACTATAGTTTTACATACTTTAGTATTACATATTTTAGTATTATAGTATTACACCCTTTAGTATTACACACTTTAGTATTACAAACTTTAGTATTACATACTTTTCTTTAGTATTACTTTATATATTTTATCACAATGTTTCTTACTTAAGCATTTGAACTCCATTTTCGGCAGCTCCTTAATCAAGACGTCTTTAACTCTGTCTGGACTGGCACATCTTGGTGGTGTACCACTCAAGCCTTTATTTTTAAGCCAATCAGAGAACCAAGCCAAGTGGCAATTACAAATGAATGGATTCTGGACCAGGTTCCTAAAAATGATAACGTGAAAATACAAAATTTCCAATGACTTCCACATTTATGGAAATTTCAAATCAAATGTTTTTTTGAAATCGTACTAGATAGTATAGTGTAGTTCAATGTTAACATACTAGAAGTAACTTACAGGGTGTGTAAAGACTGTAGAAAATCGAAAGATCCTGGCATAACACATGTAATCTGATTGTTGTTTAAAGACAGCACTTTCAAATGATGAAGACCCAAGAACATTTTGTTGTGGATTTCTAATAACTTGTTTTCAGAAAGTAATCTAAAAAATAAGCAGTTCAATATAAAAAATAATACTACGAGTATATATATAAAAAAAATTAATCTGATTTAGCCACAGTTACAGTTGTTTTTATACTTAAATACATACAATTCTGAAATTTTTGAAGCTCCTTCGAAGGAATTTTCTTCAATGCCAGTAATTTGATTTCTCCTTAAATCCAATTTTATTAAATTTGGCAATCTTCCAAAGAGACCATCAGATTTTATTCTTCCTAAATCATTATCGTGCAGTAATCTAAAAAATAAAAGCACTTGAAGTTCCGTTTTAAAGTATTTCTAATAGCTGTAATCATTTAAAAAGTTTAACCAAATATAAAAACTTTAAGAGATAAATTTTATTTGCTTACAGTTCAGTGGTATAAAGCGGAATATCTCTCGGTATTTCTTTGAGCTCTTTTCCAGAACAATCCACAATCGTTCCGTCACAGGAGCATCCTGCAGGACATGCATTGTCGATAAGGCATTCACCTGCATATTTTGTCCTAAATTCTTCTTGACCTATTATAAAAGTTTAACTTACAAATTTCAAGGCAAATTTACTATGTTAACATCACAATTAAGCAGAAAAATATTCAGCAACCTTTACATGGTCAATAATACAATAAGTACTATTGAATTTATTTTTGTCTAATATTAGTATTTGATGTAGATTGTCTCCTTGTTAGACAGCAAATAATGTTGCAAATGGATTTATTTTGAGATCTTTTAAGTCATGTGAGTACCCAAAGAGTTGTCAATAGTCGCTTTCTTTTTACGTGCAAACTAAGGTGACTAAAGTAAGATCCTAACCTGAGCTAAGTTGCAAGAAGAACGCGTTAAATTAACGTAGTTGTCAAAAGTTAGTTTTTTTACGAAGCTTAGTGACTGTTAGCTCAGATTAGTGGTAAAAATAAAGGGACAATAATTAATTCTGTTAGTGTAGGATACATTAAACAAGAAGACAATCTGAATACGACGACACAAAAAATGAGGTGAAAGTAATCTATAAAGCAATAAAAAAATTAGTTATATTCAATATTCACTCTTAAAAACTAATATACAAATTAGGGATGAGGGTAGCAAAATGTGATTGGTTGGGATTGAATACGAATGTGTAAAGAAAAGGTCTTATATCTCATAAGGTCAATTTATTGGTGACTGATTTCGAAGTACTGCATCATCAGGCACAATTAAATGGAAAGCATGGAGTCAATGTATTGAAAGGTGAAAATTATTTAATATAAAATAGAGAATTAAAAAAAATAAAGCAAATATCAAAAGGGGAAGCTTAATAATAATTTGACTTACTATGGATAATGGATATAAATTAGTAGTTCTAAATCAGTTCAGGATTATTTCCGTAAACGAAGCTAATATCAAAGTTTTAGTAAACTCATTTAATTTTTACCTGGTTCAACGAATAATAAACTAACATAAGTTTCTTTTAAAAATCTGATTGTTTAAAAAATCGTTAATAAAAAATCTACAAAATAATAAGAGTGAATTATGAACATTCCTAGTAACAAGCATATTATTAAGAAGGAAAATGAATGTTATATGAAACACCGTAACCACTGATTATAGTGGAATGGTGCTTACCCTTACATTTAAACTTTTCATCTTTCAACGATTCTATCCTTCTCCTTTGCATTCTTTTCGGGGTTTCGCATCTTGCTCCTGACGTTTCGATGGGATTTCGATGTAGATACTCGGCCAGCCATTTTAGATTGCAGTCGCATATGAAAGGATTACGGGCTAAATGACTAAACAAATAAATCAGAAAATTATCGTTACTTAATATCGTGAAAAAATAACAATTCTATAAACGGTGATTATTATGGTACCTATGAAAAATTAATGATAGTTTGTGTTATAAACTATGGTCCAAAAATGTTCTATTGCGAAATCGCAGGATGCTAAAGTTTTAGGAGAAAAAGGAAATAAATTAATATTTTCGAAACCGCTTAAGATATTTCAGTGATATTTAGTACGCAGTGACAGTTAATTAAGAGCAATAAGATATATTGCAAAATTGTATTCATTAATATTTACATTAATTTTCTCGGACAATACGATTTTTTTACTAAATAAACAGGAAAACAATAAAACAACCCAAGCAAGTTCTTATGTTTAAAATTAAACGTTAAATTCTTCAATACATTTTTATTTAGAAAAAAAAAAAACCATTAGCGTAAGTACCATCTTTTTCTTCAAAAATATGGAAGTTAGTGCCCGTACGAACGCCACTGGTAGAAATATTTTTGTATTAAAAAATATGCACCTTTCTTTATTAACTGTCACTGCGTACTAAATGTCACGGAAATATCTCAAGCGGTTCAAAAAGATTAATTAATTTCCTATTTTTTTTTTCCTAAAAACTTTAGCACCGCTTATTTTCGTAACGGAACATTTTTAGACCCTACTTGTTTATAATTTTTCATGCAGATTCACACTTTTAAATATTCGCATATCATTAAGAATCACCGTGTATATGAGGCTTGATGTAAAAGTATCTGGAATTTAATAGTCAGTGTTAGCGTTTCCAGATCTCAAAACTCGCAAAATTACGTTTTTATTAAATAATTCCATATGTAGGCCGTAACATAACCTAATAACCTCAAATTGTTTATTTATTTGTTATGAGCCACTCTTCAGGTAATATTGTTTGTAATTGTATATTGTTTTCCAGATTTTTTAATTTCTTTCTCCAGAGTTTAAGGATGAACATATAGAAATTTAATTTTAATTGAAAATTAGCTTTTAAATCAATTATCAAAAAATGAATTCAATGAACTATTTAATGAATCTGCGGATTAGCCGAAATACCAGATAGTTCAGGCGCACCAAGTACCACAATCCAAATCAGGTTATGTTGTGGTTGACTTCTGTCTATGGTCCTTTTCACAAAAAAAAAGGATGAAAATGAACTAAAACATCCAGAGTTCCTGAACACAACAGAGGTGAAGTATTTAGGCCTCACCTTTGACAGCAAGTTAACATGGAACTCACACCTAGAAAACGGTTAAGAAAGTATAAATTGCTTATGAACAAAGTCGCTGAACCATAAGGTGCACCTGTGGACTCTCCTGCAGAGTCGTCATATGGACTTACACGGTTGTCATAAGACTTATGCTAACATACGATGTAGTTGTTTGGATGTCGAAAACTAAACAATTGACAGTTATCCGAAAACTAGAACAAATTCAAAGAACAGCATGTCTCAACCTTAAACTACACCAACCAGAGCCATGGAAGTCATTTTTAGTCTCAATCTCTTTGATATTTACATCAAGCATGTTACTTTGATGACAATGACACGACTCCGCATGGTTGGAATAGAACCTGATGTAGGATCTGGTGAGGCGGGAGGCGCTCGATACACTTTCACTTTCAAGAGGACATGAACTCCATATAATCGAGATATATCTTCCATAAGCCATATAAAGTTATAATAAAACAAACAGAAGAGCCGGAAGTGGAAGATACGATTCATATCCACACCGACGGTTCTAAAACAAAATAAGGCTCATGATGTGGAATATACTCCAGATCCGTATACCTAAACATAAAATAGGCTGTGAGCCAGTGTAGTTTAAACCAAGTTCACGGGGATTCCCATAGAAAAAAAACACTATCACTGGAAGGAACATGCTCATCTATATAGATATCAGACAAGCACTACTCACCCTGGACAGATCACGAATTTACTCAGGGATAGTACTAGAATGTCACGAAGCTTTGGCAGAAGTATCCATCAACAATGTGATCACCTTAAGATAGATAAAAGGTCATGGCACATCCAAAGGAAGCCGCTGATTAACTAGCTAATAATGCAGCCAAACATACTTTTTGGACCTGGCCCTTCAATTGGACTGATAACATAGGTAGTGACAAACCTAATTAAAGAACATTCTTTCTGTAATTTAGGGAGTAGGTTAAAACAAGTAACTGCAGAGTTACTAGGGAGCTTTAGTTGCACTAACAACACTAGACTGGAATCAGTATCTAATCACAGGCATTTTCAGCGAGTTTTAGCTAACATCAGCCTATATAAGAGAAAAATCTATCAAATCTGTAGGCTGGCTGATGAGCTAAGAGGGGCCTATTAATTTAGGAAGATGCAGAATGAGCCTAGTGAGTCCTAAGTGCCGTGGGGCAATCCCCACTCCATACGTTACGGGTAGAGATGTGTTCTGGCTCTCCGACAATTCCAATTAGCATAAAGCAGTTTCAAAAACAGTTTTCATTTTGAGAATCAAAACTATGAAAGTATTACATAAACTGGTAGGTATTTGGTTTACACAATATTCAATCTATATATTATTTCGATAGCATTTCTCTTAAAAAACACAGTATATTCAAATGAATTCAAGTTTAGCAATGTTCACCTCTGGTATACCGTAAGGCTCAAATTTGAATCCACTGTTATTTAATATTTTTAATAATGATACTGGTGAAACTAAAAAATTTAATATTTGCTGCTATATGCTGATAACCTAAATAGGTGTAAAACTATTGAAAATATTACTGATTTGCAGCATTTTTGCTCAAAGATGTATAAATATTTTTTACTTTTTACTTACAGTGTTTGGATACTTCTAAGAGAATCAAAACTGCCATTGGCCAATGATTGAATGTTGTTGTCGTAGAGAGATCTGTAATAATTTTTTAATTTATTTTTAGCTGTAATTACCATTTTAATTTAAAGTTACTTACAATAAACTGAGACTATGCAAGTCATAGAAAGTGTCTTTTCTTATGCAGGATATTTCGTTAGCGTTTAGTAACCTACAAACATATATAAAATTTTATTAATACTTTTTAAATATGTTTTGTAAAAAATCTATAGTAGGTGCTTCTTGAAAAAATGATAACTTACAGTAATTGTAGCGACACTAGTCCTTGGAAGACTCCAGCCGGTAAATCTTTAATTTTGTTCCCGTACAATACACTGAAAAAGACAATTATATTTAGATAATTTCGAATAAATAACATTTGTTTAATGATCACTTACAGGGATGTTAATGCTTTTAGTCCTTGGAATGCATCTGGGGCGATTTTAGAAATTTTGTTATTGCTTAAATCTCTGAAAGAAATATAAATATTTAAATTGAGCATCTAGATTATTTTTTATTTTCAAACTTACATTCTTCGTAATCTCTTGTGAACGACGAACGCTTTAGGTGGTATCTCGACGATTTCGTTTTGTTCAAAACGTCTAAATATTAAAAAAAAAATGTATCAATGGTATGAAATAAGTGACAATTAACGTTTAATACAATGCTTATATGATGCATTTTTACTCTCTTTTATGGCCCTCTCTGATTGAGTTAAATAATTTTAAACCACATTCACAATTAATTTGAGAATTTCTTTTCCTTACATATTACTTATTTATTATCCTTTGTATGCAGCCCATTTTTTGTATTAAGTTTGATTTTTTTGAAAACCCTCTTCAGTTGTTAAGATTTTTATCTGCAGTTCAAGAGTTATATTGTAATAGTGAATGTTTGTGGTAATATGTTTCTATTTTAAAGGATGGTAAGAGGTGAGGTAAGAGATGTTAAGAGGTTTGCAACATGATACAACAAGTTGGATAGATATTAGGTGAGATATAATTGTTTTCAATACTTTTTAAACATGCTGGATCAATTCACAATTAAAAATATATCACAAAATCAGTACTTACACTTCGGTAATTCCATCTGGTAAATGATCAGGAACATTAGTCAAGCCTTTTTCTCTGCAGTCCACTATTCCATCGGCACATCTGCATGGATGAGGACATTGCGGTTCACTAATACATTCGCCGCTGATTGCTCTTTCCACTAAACCTAAAAGAATAAATATTTTTAGACGTATATTTTTTATGTGGCTATTGATTACCACCTCCATAGTACATATTTTTTTTACAACCACAGTTTAAAACACGCTTTTCTGTTTTCTTTTCATGAAAGACCGGCTAGTGTCGTAAGTGAATTAAATGAGAAGTGCATATAGTTGCAAGACGTTTTTTGTACTTTGTTTTTTAGTAATTTCCATTAATTAGTAGCGTTAATTACCTAAATAAATTTAAAAATATCTAATTTATTATTATAAATATTTGTTACGAAATAAACTTAATTAGTTTTATTTTTAGTAAAAATGTGGTTGTAGAAAAAGTATAATATGTAACTAATGGCATTTCTATACTTGGTTCACAATATATTGGATTTGTTTATTAAATACCATTTTTTGATCAAATCGTACCTGAACATTTGAATTCGTGGTCTTGAAGATCGACTAAAGCCTGCGATTTGAGATGGCTCGGCGAGTAGCAACGAGTGTATTGGGCAAGTCTCGGCGAATGTCTGAGATATCGCGCGAGCCAGGATAACTGACAATCGCAATGGAATAGATTGTCGCTCAAGCGAAGTACTCGTAGTCGAAACATGTTGCTGAACATGTCCTTGCCCAGCCATGTCAGGTTGTTGTTGTTGAGAGTCCTAAACAAATAAGTAAATACAGGTAATTTATGGTTTTCAACAAATTCTCATAGAACAAAATAAATTAATGAATCTACATAATATGTTTTATCATATTTGTTTGTATAAACTAAATTTCAATAAAACACTTCCAAAATAAAGATAAACTACTGTTGTGTAACGAATCATCATACATTAGAGTTGGCTTTGAAACTTAAATGTCAAATTTTAGGTAAAAATGCCATTCTGTGGAAGTGGCTAAAAAAACCAACCCAAAACATTTAACATTTCACAGCCAACTAAATAAAATTAAGATTTTTCTTGATGGTTCATTATAAAGGGTTATGCACATTTTTGAACTCCGCTTGCAGATTTTAAGAGCTAGTTTTTTTCGGATTAGGCTGCATGAAGTAGATTTATCGTAGGCCCATAGGTTTATTATATGTGGGGTGATCAATGAAGTCATGCAAAAAATCAAAAAGTTTATATGAGTGAAATTTTTTTTGGTATTTGCAATATGGTTCGTTACTAAGGTAACATCAATATCTCTAGACGTTTTTGTCAGTTATTAAATTCAGGCCCGTAGGTCTTGTACACACTACTAAAAATTAAAGTTGGGTAGCAAAGTTTTTAAAATGCAATAACTTGACATTGGATTGATGATTTTTGCGGATTTGGAATCCTTATTTCACGTAGATTTTGTACGTTATATTCTACAATATACAAGATTGGTTAACATCCAAAAGTCAATTCCTACAAAATTTCAAAATCTAAACCTAATTTAAAGATTTCTGCAATCCCTGAAAAAACACGGTGTACTGTAATAATAAAGATTAGGCATGTATGGATAGGGACAGCTAGTAGTAATTGATATTGGTAATTTTTAATAAATAAAAAAAATTAACCTGATAAACATAAATTGTCCATTAATTTTTGTTTTGAACCCACTGCGTCAAAGATGGGAATTGCAACCTTGCATTTTCGGAGTTTACAATGAAATTGGGTCATTGTTGGCAACAGCGTGTTAAAAGGACTAGGTCATTGAAACCAACCGGCAAATATCAATGGAAAAATGCCAAAACTCCTATCTTTAAATGCCTGAACTTTGGTAATAATTTACCTGAAATTAAGTAGGTACATTAATTAAAAAAAAGAGAAACTTATATTTTGTTGGTCCTCCTGCTGGACGTATTACTTCCCGACATCGATTTGGTAGAGTATCCACAAGATTATTTATAAAATCTTGTGGGATATTCTCCCATTCTTCACGAATGGCCTCACTAAGCGTTTCTAAGGTTTTACCCGATATTACTTTAAGTTTTAAATAAGACCAAACGCGTTCTTTGACATTAAGACCCGGAGACTTTGCAGGCCAGTCCATCCTATTGATGTCATGTGCCTGCAAAAACTCTGTGATCCTTCGCGCTCTGTGAGGTCGAGCGTTGTCATCAACCAATAGAAATTCTGCAGCAGGTTCCAAAATGTCCTCCTGATAAACAGTATCGTTAACGGTTTGGTTGGTAATGAATAGCTCAGTTTTGCCATTTCTTATGATACCTCCCTATACTGTAACACCGCCACCAAATGCCTCTTTGAGGGGCCATATTTTCCTGCAAATACAGCTGATTTGGCTTTATCCAATCTAACATTCGGCCATCGGAGTGAGTCAAATTAAATCTTGTTTCGTTAGTAAATAAACACTGGCTCCACTCTGCATTACCCCAATTCGCATGCCGATTTGCCTATTCGCTCTAGGGTGTTGTAATAACCGCACACATTTTGCTCTGCGATGGAATCTATAATTCAAACTCTTGTTTTTGAAAAAAAAAAATTCTCACCTCAAGTTGTTTTTATTTAATGTTTTTCTCACTCTTCTGTCCGAAACTCTCCCCCAGTTTGTTGACTTAAAAAGTCATTTAGTTTTCTAGAGTTCTTTGTTCTATTCTGCATAGTTCCTCTCATTAAAATTCTTTTGGTTCTTTGGTTTATTTTTTTTTGTATGTTCACCCCCATCCCCATAATTATGATCACCAGTATTTTCGACGCAACTGTTCAAATTATAAATTGTCTTTCGTGCGCAATTTGCTTTTTTGGCATTTCTTCGTCGAGAAGTCGAATGCAATTTTCCCTTTCTGCCGTGGTTAAACGCCTCATATTAATTAAAATTTACAAAATTATAACATTTAAAAATGTCAGATTGTTTCTAAAATAATATTGACAGTTTTTAATTCCATAGCAACAAATTTGTTTTTCCAATGCCTACTTTGAAATTGATGGGTCGAGTAGAAATTACAGCCGATCATAATTATGGGCATGGGGGTAGACAAAGAAATCTGTAAAATAGAATGAATCTTTAAGAAAACAAATTGGGGTGAGAGCTTGGGACAGAACAGTGAGAAGGACATTAAATAAAAACAACTTGAGGTGAGAATTTATTATTACAAAAACTTAATGCCAAACCTTATAGCGCGTCGTACGCTACGTTTTTATCTGTTATCGACCTGGTATAACGTGTAAATTTCAACTCTCAAATAAAATGTATAGACCATAGAAAATCTACGTGAAATACGGATTCCAAATCCGCAAAATCATCAAGAACTGTCAATCTAATGTCAAGTTATAGCATTTTAAAAATTTTGCTACCCACATGTTATGTTTAGTAGTGTGTACAAGACCTAAGGGCCTTAATCCAAAAACCGACAAAAATGTCTAGAGATATTGACGATACCTTGGTAACGAATCATATTGCAACGACCAAAAATTTTGTTGATATTTCCAAAGACATTACGGATATTTCACTAATTGTATGTTTTTTTGCATGACTTCATTGATATATAATAAACCTATGGTCCTACGATAAACGTACGCCATACGAAAAAAACTAGCTCGTAAAATCTCCACGCCGCGTTCTGTTGAAAATATTGAACTTTATATTTTTCCTAGAAATTTCTGTGTAAGTTCGAGTGGCCAGCTTTAGTTAATAAGTTTAATTGTATCTTTGGAAATTAAATTTCAAGTAACTTTCCTCAAATAAAAATACATTACGGTAAGTAAGAACTTATATCTTAAAAATAATCTTAATTTAGTGTAGCATAACCAAAGTGAAATATTCTTAGAAAAAATATTTTTACATAAGAAAAATTAATTAATCGATCAAAATCTCGTTTACACACAATCAGTCAACCCGATCGTGTATACAAACAAAAAAACGCTTGTAGTCAATCTGTTCTATCCGGTGTTTAACTTCGAGTAAAATGACACCGTGTTGTGTTGAGAGTACACAAAGAAGAAGAAGAGAGAAATAATTGATTAACGACATTATTAACAACACGTCAAGGTAATTCTACACGTGACAACGTTGCTCTGTCGGTATACAGTTTCCCCCCAAATAATATTGTTCCATGATGATGTTGGATGTTGTTGTTCATAAAGCTCCGAGATATCCGATATATTTATTGGGGGTTTATCAACAGGTTATACATAATCAATGGAATGAAAATTACCATATTTTACATGAATAATAATGTAAGATTTGTTTTGAACATAACAGAGTGTACCAAAATTGCTGGGCCATAGAAGTACCACGTATTGTAGAGGTCAAAATAAGTCGATTACATAAATAAACGCACAAAAATGTACCGTTTGTTCGTGAGAAGAGTTCAAAGTTTAATAAAAAAATCATATTTTTGTATGGTTTTTAAAAAAGACTTAAACAAATTTAATTATATTTGGCAAAAGTACATTTTGGAGGATTACTTTACTAACCGACTTCAAAAAAGGAGGAAGTTCTCAGTTCGTCGGAATATTTTTTTTATGTATGTTCAGCCATAATTCTTTACTACAATATCCGATTTTTATCATTCTTTTTTGTTAGAAAGGGGATACCTCAGGGGTAGTCCCGCAAACAATTTTAAGGGCCTCTGCACGATTTTAAAGTCGGTTTTTTAAAATTACTTTTATTGAAAATATATTTTTACCAATTGTAATTTTAATCTTTGATAACAAATAATATTTGGAAAATCAACGGACAATATTTTAGTAAGTAGGTTTTTCATTCTTGAAAAATTAGGAAACCTTTGATATTAATATAATAGTAGAGGTTAAATGCTAAGAAATTTCTTTTAAAACGATTTTTGTTTGCACTTCATTGCTAAACTATAATACCTATTTTATATCATTCCTTACACCATAAGAAAGCAAAATCGCCTGGTCGTCAAAAAATCATAGTTTGGGGTGGTTTTCCAAAAAAATGGCAATTTTTTTTGCTTAATTTACATCTACACAATATTTTTAATCATCTGTAAAAGTTTTGTTTAAAAATTCCTAGAGAAAGTATTTTATTTTTAATTTTAAATATTCTGCAAAGATCAAGGATTAAAATACTTTTTAGAAATTAAAAATCTAATAAATAGTTTCGTCAAAAAATTGTTAAATGTAAAAGCATGTCGTAACAACGGCGCTTTGATGCGGAGCTGCGGGGATGGATAAAATTCACTTGGCACGCGGTTGTATCTGCATGTAAAGCCGTCCGTATATGTTTTCGAGTCTAGATGGTTGCTTTTCGTTTAAAACAGTAGAATGTACCTACTTAGAGGGTACATGTGTGCTCCATTACCATTACAGCATATTTCAAATTAGTAAAGCGTTGATGTTTTTGTGGTTTAACATATTGTGTTGTTATTTTACGTTATTGTGATTCTCAACTTTTAGTTACAATAAGTATCCCTGTTAACTGTTTTACAAAATTATTCGAACATTATAATATTTTATATTTGCATTTTATTAATTAATACAGGTAAGTTCCAACATATGCTATTTGTAATTCACAGTTGTAATAATGCCTAGGAATGGGTATATAAAAAATGTGTTTTCCAAAAGCGATGATCGCCTTTTAGTTATCTCAACTAATGAAGTTGCATCTGATACTGTCCAAACTTCTTTATTAAATGTGAATGAAATTGGCGAACAAACTTTAAAAAAATTTTTAGAAGTAGTTGGTACTCCTGACTTTTATAAACAAATAAAAAAAATATTCTACAAACACTACAGCACACTGGCGTCAAAGTAGCTGCGTTGATAAAAAAACAACTTTCCAAAAAGGTCAAGAATTTTTGCAGAAAATATTGGCAGCAAAAGAATGGGAAGAAATATTAAATATGAAGATATTTTTAAACATGAATTGACGACTTATCCAATATCACTGGCACCTACAGGAATATTATCTACCCCTTCAAACAAGTCTAACTTAGAAAACTTAATAGAAAAATTTACTAGAAGTTGCAAAGATTTACCATCGGGAAATTGTGGTAAAATTTGCCACGTATTCGATGGAATGGCATTAATACAGGGACTTGGCAAACCTACTAACGCCAAATCGTTTGGAGAATATGCAAACATCTTAAAGGCCATTGTATTTAAGAACAAATACAATGCCGAAAGAATTGATTTTGTCCTGGACCATTACGAAGATTTGTCGATAAAGAATTGCACAAAAGAGAAGAGGACACATAAAAATGACGCCATAGAGAGAGCCATTGAAAGCTTAGACACATTATTACCTCAATAGTGGCATTTATTTATCCATTTGATTGCTAATAAAATGCAACTTGCCAACTTCGTGGGTAATCACTTGTATAAATATTCGCTTAATTTCGGAGTTAAATTTGTCACCAGCGGAGGATTTCTTGATGTTCTGCAGTATAAAGCAAACTATGATTTAGAAACTGACTTGTTAATTGCGAAACACGAAGAGGCAGACACAAGTATTATATTACATATATTTTCTGCTAAAATGGAAGGATGTTTTGTTACTATTGGTCCATTTCAAAGACGCCGGAAATTTTGATAAAAGTTGGAAGCAAAGAAACCGAAAGATTTATAGCAATACATGAATTGAAAATGGATAGTTCAATGGCAAAATGTCTACCAGTGTTTCATGCACTGACAGGTTGTGATACAACCAGTCAGTTTGTACGAATGGGCAAAAAAACATGCTGGAAAATGTTTTAATCACACCACAATCTACTTTTAGTAATGTTGGCATAAATTACAATTTAGAAGAAGAAGATTTTAATAAAATGGTTAAGTTTGTAATGCGATTTTATACAAATAACGAAAATATTCATTGCATAAACGACCTTAGAGGGATTTTAGCGTCCTCAAAGCCGATCAGCATATTATCTCCAACTTTAGACTCTTTAAAACAGCATTGTCTTCGTGTACACTACCAGACTAAAATATGACTGAACAGTACGATACCCAGACCATCTATACCAGATGTATCAGAGTGTGGCTGGAAAATTGTTAATGGAAAACTGGTACTTTTAAGTACAGAATCAATACTACCTGAAGACACTTCTGCTTTAAATACTTGAAATTGTAAAAAAGGTAAATTATTTATTATTATTATTATTATAAGTATATTATTAATTTAAACATTTTTTATAGATTGCAACGGGAAACAATGTTCCTGCAAGAAAAAATAAATTTGTTGCATTGAGTCCTGCAATTGTGGCTCAAATTATATATGCAAATAAAGTAAAGAAAGATCTAAAAACAAAAGCTTCCCAGAATATGTTATCTGATAGTGAAGAAAATTGCGAGTCTGACTAAATGCTGTATGCTAATCTTACAAGAATATTAATAAATTATTTATTTATTTATTCATAGAAATAAAAGATTCTACTACGGAACACCGACTCCAGCACCTATAATATGTCTAGTTACACATTATAAAATTCTTTATTAAAAAGGTTAAATGTTAATTATAAAAAAAAAATATTAGGTAAAGTATCCTATCTTCCGACTATTTTACCGCGAATTTTACCAGAAATGCATGAATTATTGATACCAGCAATAGTTATTAATAAAGAGATTTTTAAAGTGATTATATTTGTGTTTTTGTAAATATCTAACTGTTATTGATTATTTATTTAATAAAACTTTTAAAAAATATTTAAAAATACTCAAAATACATAAACTATAAAAATACTATAATATCTTTGAATATCACAACGTTACGCCTTGCTATAGTAACAAAATAGGTACCTTCTGCTGTTTTAAACGAAAAGCCACCTACGAGGTTCAAAAATACACACGGACGACTGTACCACAGTTTATAGCTTAAAAGAATCAGTTCGCTCACTCTGCGTCGGCACTTTTGATCTCAATGTTCCAGTTTTACATTGCGCAACTCGGATTTGTATCCCTGGCGCATATGGAATCAAATCATAATAGCCCAAGAGCCCACTGTAAACTTTTACTGCCATCTGATAATGAAATAAAATATACCCCAAAAGCTTGTAAAAACGTTGTACTTTACCGAATGGCACCTGTGACAATCCCAATCCTGCGCAAAGTGTTTAAAAAAATATTTTATATTAAAAAAATCACATAAGGCATGACAGCGCTAATTTTGTTTGCCCTTAAAGTTTTCCAGATAATAACATATTCAAATATATCTTTATATATATCGTTAACGGGAAACATTTTCTTCCTCTTAACATCGAGCAAAAACATTTACATACGATTAGTTGGTAAAAAATCATTAAAAATATGAAATAATTTTTGCTGATTTAAGAATTTATTTGTATGCCTTTTGTTGTGATTCATTTTTAACAGGTTGTCATAGAAATGACAAAAAAACTACTATGATTATAGTTTAAAAGAAATTGTCTAACAAGAGTTTATAATTATTATTGACTATCTCTGCCAAAGTTAGGTAAACATATTAATAATTCAGGTTTAAAAGCTAGATTCATAATGAATTAGGATTGTCATTTTCAGAGAAAACACAATTATCGCTGTCATGTCTCATGTAATTTTTTGTATATAAAATAATTTTTTTTAACCCCTTTGCTCTAGATTACAGATTGGCACAGGAGCAATTTGGCAAAGTACAATGTTGTTACATGTCTTTGGAGCATATTTCATTTTGTTATCAGAAGGCGGTCGTAATTTGCAGTGGGCTCTCTTACTATTAACAATAGCTGTCAGTGAGAAGGTCTGGTATATCTAAGGGGGTAGAGACATAGTCTTGCATCTTAAACATTTATTTTTATTCGAAATAATAGTCACAAAGCCTGCCAATTTATGAAAAAATGTATCTTATTTTTATTGTGTTTGACATAAAATATTTAAATGTAATCCATTATTCATGATTTTACGTATTGTAAATAGAAAACATGGTATGTCGCAACCCTTGGATATATCAAATCTTCCCACTGACAGTTCATTTGTTTGGAATGCCTAATACAATTATGTAACCGCCTATATTTAAACAGCAGTCTTCTGCGCATCCTAAATTTGTATCCCTGGAGTGAATGTTATTTTGGAACATCCAATTGGTCCGAGTGAGCGAACTGATTCTTTTAAGCTATAAACTGTGACTGTACTATGTAGATACAACAGAGTGCCAAGGAAATTTCAACCATCCTCGCATCTCCGCGTCAGAGAGCGATCGTCAGAACATGCTTTTAAATTTTACAGTTTTTTGACGAAACTATTTATTAGATTTTTAATTTCTAAAAAGTATTTTAATCCTGATATTTGCTCTACAACGTTTATAGAAAGTATTTTTTGATTAGAATTTTCATTCTTGAGTTTTCACAGTGTAAATGATATTGCAATTTTAAAGTCTCAGCGCGAGTCGTTTTATATTAAGGAACTCCATATAAGAGCGTGTTGGGCAGATAATTTAAAATTAAAAATAAAATACTTTCTCTTGGAATTTTGAAAAAAAACTTTTGCAGATGATTAAAAATGTTATGTAGATATTGTCACGTTATGCGTGTTTTTATAATTAAATGTCACGGTTTTACGTGTTTTAAATAATTATAGGACCATCTATATCCCGGGGATAAATAACAAAATATATCACTCTGTAGAACTGTGACGTAAGAACTCTATAATGCCTTAAACTTGGCTTCGTAGCCCTTAACTGTATAAGAGTTCTACTCTTGATATCAGAACCTAATCTAAGGGCCGAAGAAAACACAGTGTTCTCAAAACGAATATAATAATATAAATATTTACACAATAATTACACAGAACAATGTCACAACTAGACATACACAAATACGGGCTAACCCTAAAATAAATATCTTAAAAACAAATTAACTTACCAACTCCAATTTTGGGGTACACGTCACAACTTTAAACTCAAGTCAATCCCCGATTCAAAATACAAGAAATCAAGGCTCTAAGCCAACCTGCGGCCTAGCCACGCGGAGAATCCCCTGTCTGACCTCAAAATCCATTTTTTATCAGTTGGCTTGCTAGTTTATTATTTTATTTATATTTCATAATTATTTAAATAATCAACCTTGCACATGATTACAATTTAAAACAAATTGTCGACATAATTAAACAAAGTTTCATGTACAGGATGTTATTTAAATAATTAATTAGAATTTGGAAAATGTGAATTGATACGAAGCGTGACAATATAAATTAAGCAAAAAAAAATATTGCTATTTTTTTGGAAAACCACCCCTAACTACCTCCTGCACACTACGATTTTTTGACGATCAGACGATTTTGCTTTCTTATGGTGTAAGGAATGATATAGAATAGGTATTACATTTTAGTAATGAAGTGCAAACGGGATGACACGATAGAATCATTATGAAACTTTACTATAACAGAAATATATAAAAAATTATACTTACAACATTTCTAAATCCTTCAGGGTCTTCAACGCATTGTCGTCGATGCATGTTAATTTGTTATTGTCAAGTTGTCTGAAAAATTAAAAACAGTTTTGGTATTTATAATAAAAAAAAAGATAAAATTTCACTTACAAGTTTCTTAAAGACTGAACTGCACGAAAAGTTTTTCTTCCAATAACAGATATTTGGTTGTGACTTAGATCTCTATAAGAAAGAAAAATAATAAATAACACCAACATTTATATAAATGTGTCTCCATTTCCATCTTTTAAAAATATTTGATGTAGGTCGGTATTACGTAAACAGACCAAACACAAAATATTTATTACACTCTTAAATTCAATTCAATTTAATGATTAATTTTCACTATATTTTATGTGTATGTGTTACAGGCAAAGTGATTAATGAGGTCATTATGCATAATACTAGTTCATTTTTACGTACCTACTTGGGTTTTCATTTATCATAATGATTTATTGTTTTAAAGATAAATTACATATTTCAAATTTCAATAGGATGGCTGACGATAACTTTTATTTCTAAAGTGGATATTGAAAAAATTAAATTAAAAAAATTGACAAAAATAGTAATCAACAAATAATAGGGATTTAATATTATCATTTATCCTATGTTAGTTTTAAATGGTATTTACCAGGTACAGAAGATCATAAATATTTATTTTCGTCTTTTTTTTAATTATACAGGATACTCTAAATTCAAAATAATTAGATTTTAATTAAAATTTGGACAATGATATTTCATATTTTGAATTACGATATTTCCCTTCTTATTAATATTTAATAAATTCTATGAAATTTAAAAATTTGAAAAGCATTATTTAATAAGAATAATTACTTATTTTATTAAAATGAGTTTAGTCCGTAACACATAAAATAAGTGAGGTTAACACATAACACTTAACATTTATCGTGTACAGTGCTAATAAAAAACACTAAACAGTTTTTAGTATAAAGAATCAACTAAAAAGACTATCAGCATCTTAAAAAATACCAACAGACTTTAATTATGATGAGTTAAGGAAACTTCTTTACCTAAATTTTAAACTACCAGAAGCAAAATGGATTGTTTTTTGTTAATACTGAAATAATATGGAGAAGTAATTAGGCAGTGCAGAGACATAACAATACAAAACATAAATAATAATAAATTTATTTTTTGTACTGATTTCGTAGCATTTAGCGTGATAGATAAGGATGATTGAGAGACCATAGACACCACTGATACGGAAAAAATTGGGACAGTACAACACTTTGTATTCAAAAAAATAATAATTGATAAAAATCATTTGTTGTGTTGAAGCAACAAATTAAAAAAAAATATAGATTGATTAGATTTAGATTCAGCAAAACATTTTTAAAATTTTGGTGGAAGCGCGCGAAAATTTATATTAACAACCACCAAATTATAGACACAAAATGGGATTTTTTTTTTAAATAAATGGTGGATGAACTGGTCTGTTGCATACTAGTATTTTATTTAATCAATAATTGACAAAAAAATTATTTTGAAATTTAGAAGTTACCTACTTCAAACTCGAATGAGTTTTAGATTCATTTTCATGTTAAGTTAATAATAAACAAAGTACTGACTCAGAAGCAAATGTCTTTTAAAACATTACAACAAATATTTAAATAAAAATGCTCCAAAATGTTGTCCGTAAAGGTATTTAAGGACTTGGGGGCCGTGTTGCTGTGTTTATTGCAAAAAAAAACATTCGTTAAGAATGGTTGAATAATTTTGAGAATCATGTTAATTTCCAGATCTATATTCAAGTCTTCAATTAACAAATTTGAATTTTATTTTATCTATAGTAGTTTTAATTTTATTTTCCAAATATTCTAGGACCTTATCTATGTTTCGAGATGAAGGCAATCTATAAACTGTATTAATGATAATAGTTTGATTGTTTATTACTGACTTTATTTGAATAAGTTTACTATAGCTAATTTCGTAAGTTTTATGTGAAAATATATTTCTGGTTTTATAAATACTACGACACCATCATTTCGATTTAATATTCCAAAATTATAAAGCGAAATATAGGCTAGTATTTTGAAAGTTGAAATATCTGTAATGTCTTCGTCAGCACAATATAGTCAATATTAGAATCTATAAAAAATAAAATTTACAATCGTCTAAATTTTTTAACAAACTCCTAATAATATTATGAAAAATTTTAAGTTTATGAATTGTTTATTAGCATCTATAATTTGCTTAGCTTCAATTCAACTAAACATTTATCGAAATTTATCTATCATAGGGTCCATTTTAAAATTTTAAGTGCTACTAAATAAACACTATAAACTAATGTTTTTGTTTTAAAGTATTTTTTCGACATGGACATGTATGTCCATTCAGCCAATCACGTTTTAAAGTATTGACTTCTAATGACTGACTTATTAGAGCAAATAGTACTGAGAAGACTTCATCTGTCGCTTGATTTTGACACCTTTTTTTAATATTTCTGTTTTGAGATGAACCGCTAGAATTGTTTTTACTTTTATCGCAAATTTTTCTATTTTTCTTCTGACGATGATAAATTGGACCCTGTTTTTTTTCTACTGCAAGTGGTTTTGAAGTTCTTCTGCAGTGTAGTGCTCTGTATCGGTTAGGCATAATTTATTTCTAATTAGTTTTAGTCTTGTTATTTTTTCTTTTGCCTGTTTAAGATGGGTTCCAAGAATTTTTGATCGTCACTATTCTGTTTACTTAGGTCACTAGCAATCCTTACCAATTTTTCTTTTAGTTTATAAGTATTCTTAATTACCGATAAACCAAAAACTACTATTACTACCTCTTCTTTCAATAATTATGTTAATTCCTCTTATCTAAATTAATTATTTATTTTTCTACTTTATTCATTTTATCTTCTATTTTTTAAGTAATTAATTGTATTTCTTCTTTAAAACATTAGTTTGTTGTTGATTTGTAGATATTATTAATTCGTTTAATTCATTTTTCATAAATAAAACAGCATCTTCCTCATAAAATATATTATTATTTTTTTTTTAATTTCTTTGTTATTTATGTAAACTCATAAATTAGTGTATGGCCACCTTTAATTTTTAAAATATCATAAATCTATTTAATTTCGTTTTACTGATAATGTAGATCTCTTGATAAGCGATATCTAGTGATTTTTTGATTAATGTTTATTATTTTTCTATATGTAACTTCATTTTCATTATTAAGGATTAGATTATATTATTCAATATACAAATTGGACAATTTTGTATAGATCTGAAAATATTATTTCTCCAAAAAAATTAGTTTTTTATACCTTATGTATGTGATACCAATGTTAAACAGAAACAAATGAAATACGTACACCTCGGGTAACTAATTTTCCTCATGAGTGAAGGCAAAGTCTACAAGTGTTGTACTGTCCCTCGAAAGACAAATAAATTACTTACAAACGAAATAAATTAGGCACGGTGGAAAATAAATTTTCCGGAATGTGTCGTATAGCGTTGCCATTAAGTCGTCTAGAAAACAAAAAAAAATGGAAAATAATGGTTGAATGCCTCTCTTAACTCCTACTTACAGTCTCTCTAAATTTACTAAATCTTGAAAAGCGCCTTTTTCGAACGTTCGTATAGAGTTATCCGACAACTGTCTGTGGAAAATAAGGATGAATTTATAAACAGAATAAAATAATTCAATAGAAAGAAAAATGTGTTTAAATGCAAAACGGTATAATCTTAACCTAAGAAATGAAATAAAACATAATATAACTTTTTCTTTTAAATTAATTTTTTAATAACTGATTAAATTAGAAATTTAAACACCATCGTGTTGCTTAAACTTCGTATACACATGGTGTCCCGCAAATATACCGACAAATATAAAGACAGTGGTAGGGGACTGTAATATATTTTTTCTCCTCCAATACTTTAAATTACTTATTAAATGTGTGCTATCCGTTTTATATTAAACCCCATTATAAAACAGTTTTCATTATAAAACTGACTTTGACCAATAGAAACACTTTTCATTATAAAACTGACTTTGCACCAATAAAAATTTCTAAGTTGCATTAATCAAGTAGGTGTTTTAATAAATATTATATTGACAGTTCTATGAAATGTCTAGTAGCTATATTGAAATATCTTCTACACCTCCGGAAATTTCTGAAAAAGCAAAAGTTGTTTGTGATACTTTGGTGTCCCAGAAGTCGAAAAAAAAATCTATGAAAAATTATACGGGCAGTTCTTAAATTGGAGATAATTAGGTAAAAGGAATATCGTCATTTTCAGAAAATGTTTTTTCATCGCTGTGAACACATTATTCCATTCTTAAAACCTCACTAAACATAAAACATCAAATTGATATTAAAAAATATGCAAAATTACAAGCATTTTTAAAACGTAAATCCGAAGGTTACAATGGAAAAAATCTAAAACATTTTCTCCAAATGAAATTAAAAACTTTATTGAAGGAGCTCCAGACAATAAATATTTAATGACAAAGGTAAATAAACTTTTTTATTACATTTTTGCGTATTTGTGTAGTTTTTGAATATAAGAGTAAAATATTTTAACTTTACTTATAAGAAGAAAGTGGTTAAATCCGCTTCAGAATAACTTTTTTTTATTTAGAAAATAATTTTGTATATGAAAATTACGATTGATTAAATAGTTCTTTACTTATTGTATTAGTAGTTATTTATGCAACAACGATTTGCATACAATATTTTTTCTACGTATATGTAAAAACAAAAGAAAATATTATTCACCTGTTTTGTTACAGGTAGCGTTAATTATGTGAGTTATGGGAGCTACATGACTTAAAATTTGAGAACGTTAAAGATTTGAAAGAAACTCTTATTATTAACATTCCCTGATACAAAGACAAAAACGCCAAGAACTTTTACTGTGACTGGCAAATATTATATTTACAAAAAATATATGAATTTAGGACCAAAAGTTTGGAATACACCTTCCTTTTTTATTAATTACAAAAACGGACAATGTTCAGCACAAACCATTGGAATTAATAAATTTGGTAATTTGGGTAAACAAACCAAACCTATATACTGGATACTGCTTTCGTAGGAGTTCTGCTACAATATTTATTAGTGGATGCTGGTGGCGATATAACCACACTAAAAAGGCATGGTGGATGGAAATCGATGGCAGTTGCCGAGAGTTATATAGACATTTCAGTAAAAAATAAAATTACTGTATCTAAAACAACAAGAGAAACGAAACCATGATATAAATATCGATATGCCTTCAAGATCGAGAACAATACAAACAGGAAAAATTCCACAAATTAATTTTTCGAATTGTACAATTCAAAACTTATATATTTATAAAAAATAATAGCAATTATAAATGTAGTATATAATCCTAGATATAGTTTTTGGGTATAAATGGCTATTAATACATGATCGTTGCATAATATACTAATACTGTATATAATTTTATATTGCTTAATTTCTTCTTGACCATTAATAATTAAGTAGTTCCTTATTTTTTTGTAAGGTAAATGTCTAGTTGAGCTCTTTTCAAATACGGAAAAACTAAGCATAGATATTGCTATTTAAACAAAAAATCTAAGTTCCATATCTTGTGCAAATGAATAATAAGGACATAAATAATTTTTTAAATTAAAATATGCCATTTTTTCATTCATTTTATCAATTTCGCGGGAAAGGGAGTAAATAGGAATGCTGGGTGGGAAAAACAAAGTCAATAGTTATATTATTATTATAAAATATTGTTAGGGCAAGGTAAAATATTAGAAATACTAAATAATTCAATATTAAACTGTTTGCGCGACTTGGCAACAGTGTATGACGTAAAAGTAGCATCTCTGAGCTTTGATTTGAAACAATTTATGAAATATTTTAATATATGATAATTAATTGTAACGATATTAATAATTTGCACAAGATATGGAACTAAGATTTTTTGTTTACGATACCTACAAGTAGGTAATGCTTAGTTTTTCAAAAACGAAAAGAGCTCAAACGAGACAATGGCCTTTTATAATTTTGTTGTAATGTATGATTTGACACTAATTTTGGTGGTGATAGAGTAGGCATCGCCTCTCTTGATTGCCTTAACGCCCCCGTTGGGAACCTGTGATTTAGAGGAAAGGATATAGTTTGAGCAGCACAAATATCAAACTGATTGTCAATTTAGAAGTATCCTCTTGTTTTTAAGATCGCTCAAATAACGAATTTAAAACGGCTAGTCTGCTATTAGTTATGGATGGTACTGAAACTAAACTGTAACTAAACAATTAATTGATACTATATTGATTTGTATGACTCTATGCTTGATGTTGAAGGAAATAAGTTACTGTCTGTTCAAAAAAAGTGTAAGTCAAAATGCAAAAATTAGAATAAATAAAATTTATAACATTAATCAAAAACTTTAGTTAATGACCTAAAAATTTATTTCATTTAAAACGAATCTTCAATATCCTTAGCTGCACTATTGCAATAGTTGCGAGTGTAGTTCAAACAGAGCTAAAGGGGATTCTCATAGCAGTAAAAGAAATAATCAGAAACAATATCACTAGAAGGAACATGCTCATCTATACAGATAGCAGACAAGCACTACTCACCCTGAACAGATCACGAATTTATTCAGGGTTAGTACTAGAATGTCACGAAGCTTTGGCCGAAGTATCCATCAACAACCTTAAGATGGATTAAAAGTACGCCACATCGAAAGGTAACCTTCTTGCTGATTCACTAGCCAAGAAAGCAGCCAACCAAATACTTTTTGGACCTGGCCCTTCTATTGGCCTGACAAAATCGGTAGTGACAGACCTAATCAAAGAACATTCCCTTGTGAAATACAAGGAAAGATAGGATAAAACAAGAAACTGCAGAGTTGCCAGGGAACTCTTAAGTTATTCTGACAATACTGCAGCAAACAAATACTTGACTATGACTAGACAGAATCTGCGCCTAGTCACATGCATTCTGACTGGTCAGTGCCAAGTACGAAAGCATCTCCATATCATGGGGCTGTCAGAATTAGCACTCTGCAGAGGGTGCGAACAAGAAGATGAGACCATCGAGCATATTCTTTACGATTGCTCGACGCTCTCATTTATTAGAAGATTTGTGTTCGGCGAGTATCGGCTAACACCGGTCGATATAAGAGAAGCACCTCTTGGCGACGTTGTCAACTTCATTAAACCTGTAGGCTGGCTCACGAGCTAGGAGGTGCCTATCTTCTCAGGAGGATGCACAATGGGCCTAATGAGGCCTAAGTGCCGTGCCGTGCCACCCTTCACACATTACAGATACAGATCCTTAGCTGCAAAATTAAATAATGCTAAACAAGGATCAAAAACTATCGAACAGTTTGAAAACGTTAGAGTAATTGTTAACCGACTTAACGATTACCCAAGTCTGACGATAACGAAAATCATGTTCAAATTTTAAGAGAAGTAAATGAAAAGATTACTCTCAACACTTTTGCAAATGGACTCCGATAAAAATTTGCAAACTATTATTAAAGATCGGAATTATGAAAACTGAAGGAAGCAATCCAAGGAACTAAAAATTAGCAAATCAATTTAAATAATTTTAATAATTAAAATGTGCAAACTTATCATTATTGAGAGATCGTCGAAATTTCATTTCTAATTATAGAGGTAATAATAGAATTGCTAGAGAGTCTAATAATCAATATAATTTTAATAGAAGTGATGTAAGAAGTAATTTAAATTTTAATAACAGAGGACATAACCAAAATCTTGATACATTTAACAGTTACATTTGGGGAAATAATTTTAAAGCCAAAGATATAAATAACTCCACCAGTTAAACAGTAATCAATGTAATATTTCAAAAAATTCAAAATCCAACGAGTGACATATACCTAAAAGTATGAACTATATCATAGTTTACTTAAATATTATAAATTTTTTGGAAATTGTCTACAGGTGCTAGTATTATTTTTAAAAATGGGATATTTAATAAAGTAGTTGAGTTTTCAAAGAAATTGCGAATAAATGGTTTATTTGAATTAGTAATATCAAGCGGCACAATAAATATTGCATTATAAATAGATAAAGTAGAACTTATACATGAATTTCAACTTTTAAACGTCCTTGAACAATTAAATGCACATTTTGGGCTCAAATTTCTTTTGATTATTCTGCAACAATATACTACGGAATTTTTGTATTTTCGCTTTCATATCATAATACCCGGCTGATATTTCCTATAAAACAACAAAACAAATTCATTATATGTCAGTCCCTACTATACAGGGTGTCCCAGAATATGTGGGCAATCTCTCGGATGGATTCAGAGAGAACATATAAAAATAACATAACAAGTTTCTATAATTTTTTTTTCCTACGACCACCCTTTTCGGAGATATGGTCCCATAATGGACAGAATTGAAAATCTTTTTTTTAAATAATTTTCAAAGTCCTTGGTATAATATAATAATTTTTAAATACGATGGATATTAGATACGTATCCGTAAAATGGATCATTTTAGTTACGTTTACCAGGGACGGACTAGCTTTATCATAATAACGCTAATAGTTTTTACACCGTTTGATAAAACCACAACAATAATATTTTTAAACAGCTTAAACCAAAAAACATGTACATCACGAGTACATCGATAAAATGTTCTCGTTTAAAATGGTTTTTTTGCATTGGTTGCCACTGATAAAAAATATTTTTTGTTGCTATGGTTCTTTGACTTTTTTTATTGAATGAATAATGCCGGTTCAATATGAGCATCTTCTAATCGTATGGATTCCTAGCTCTAAGAATACCCTAATATTGTTCTATCTGAATCCGGGCAATCACATATTTTGGGACATCCTGTATGCGAAATAATTAATATTTTAAAGTAAATAATTTATTGTTCTGCCTAGCGAATTATATGAAAATTATTTTTGATTAATAAACGTAATTATGTCAAAAATTTTTTTTTATTGATTTTTAATAATTATTTTAACGTAATCGAGTTCCATGAAATTTTTACAATTTGTTAATATCTTAATAAGGTAATTTTTGGATCTATTATAATTTTCATAGACGTGCCCACGGAACAAATCTATTATATAAAGCGAAGCATTTTCGGACATATGCTTATTAAGCAAAAAAAAAATTAATTTGATATCTAGTACATACCACCCCTAAAAACTTTGCGGTATATTTACGGGATACCCTTTATATTTCTTTTGTAAAAAATAGATGTTAATAAGATATTCTGATTAAACTTTAATGCTACTAACTAGGTAAAATATGGTATTATGGATAAAAAATACTTACAAAATTTTTAGCTTGGATAAATCTTGAAAATCAGTTTCGTAGACGATGGTAATGTTGTTTCCGTGAAGATCTCTGAAAATAAAAATATACTATATTAGAAAGATCTACTAAAATATATATTTGTTTAAAGTAAATGGTCTTAAAAAGAAAATTCCTGTCACGTGACAAAGGAAATACCGCGAATCCTTTAATTTAAAGAGGTAATATTTAAGAGGACGAGTAGTATTTGAAAAGATTACTTTTTGAATTAGTTGAATGAAAAAGAGACATAAATATGTTCATTAAGCATACTATAATTGATTCATTTGAAAATACACAATTTGTCAGCAGTCTTATCCAACTTCTTTTGGTTTGATATTAAAGTTTCTCTTGATGTAGAAGAGATATGTCTGAGACGGCATACTTGGTGAGATAGCATACTAACATATTACATTCGCCACGCGAACCGGCTAGTACGAGCGCCATCGAAAATTATCAAGTCTATGCATTTGTAATCCCATTGAGACCAGTCGTGTTCGTGTACAAGTAATAGTAACGAATGGGTTTTTGTGCTGTATAAATATTTTTATCGTGAAACTTCATTCCAGTGTTTGTGCAAAAATAAGGGCAATAAGGTAAGTTTTTTCTATGCGGATCCCCAAGAAGGTCAACCCGTTTTTAGCAAAATTAGTGAAACATTATTATACTCTTCACACAGTAGCCTGACAAGCGTATTATAGGTTTACTTTCAAGACACCAACATTTTTAATAATCATCCAATTTAGAAATTTTTGTACCAAAATCCTTCTCATCAAATTTTAAACAACTTTTAAAAATGTCCGTCCGTCCGATGTCACGTTTTTTGTCCGCACCATAAATCAAAAACGAAAAATGATAATAACTTAAAATTTTCAGGAAAAATCAAGGATACGAAGAGAAAAATCTGATTAAAAATGGAAGGGTTAGAGGGGTTAAAAAAGTCACAAAAAAAAAACTAAAAACAATATCAACTTAAAATTTTTAGCAAAAATCAAACTTTACAATGCGACGAAGCTTATTGAGTTTTAAATTTTTTTTATTAAAAATCATGAGATTTTTATTAAAAATCAAGCTCGATAAGGGGATGAAGCTTATTCATTTAAAAAAATCTGAATAAAAATAGGGGGTTAAAAGGGATTAATATATTAAAATAAAATCCTAAATCAGAAACAAAAACCGATATCAACTTAAATTCGTCCGGGAAAATAAAGCTTTTATAGGGGGGATAAAGCCTATTGATTCTGAAAATATCTGATTAAAAATGGAGTTTAAAAGGGGGTTTGTTTAACTGTGAAGAGTATCATATAGAATGCCAAGCATTATATAGGTATCTTCATTCTAGTTTATGGTATAGTTTTTGTAATACAAAAAGCACGTGTTCTGTATTTTGGTTGAGATGGCATACCATTAGTAAGCTAGATGGCATACCATTAGTAAGCTAGATGGCATGGTATACCATCTTAGTCGAATCGTTTTTGTATGAAATTTTTCTCATTGTTTAGCATGGGTCGTTATTAAAGAAAATCTGACAGAAAAGATAAGAACATGAAAAACGAACTTAAAGCTGTTCAAGAACGACAAATGGGATAGCTATTAGCATCACCAAAGCTCCAGTTTGACATATGACGTAAAAGTGTAATGCATCTTCTCTTTATTCTATCTTAATGAATAAAAATCTTAGAGTATATAAGACTAGAGGTGTTACTCAAATGGGTTTGTTCTTAGAGCATATAATAGTAGAGGTGTTACTCAAATGGGTTTGTTATGTACTGAGGGGGGTAACCCCTTCGGTGTTAGGTACACGACACATTATAATTGGCGAGTTAGGAACAGGACGATTTATAATTGGAGAATTTAAATAAAGCACGTATTTGTGATAAATGACATTTCATTTGACGTCTTGTTTTCGTTTTTAAAAATATCATTTTTTGTGGCTTCCAAAGACAATTTGGACGAGTTTCCCTTTGATAAACTTTTTAAGTGTAATTTTATTATAAAATAAGTGCTAACTATGCCGAAAGCTTGTATAGTTTGCAATAATACATACTTAAAAGGATCCTCGTTGACGTTTCACAAGTAAGTATTCTATATTCCATAAACGTAACTTAAAATAGGAAATAGGTAAATGAATAAGAAAACATGTTTGTAGAATTTTCTTCATTTGAGCATGACCGCAACTGGTTGCGTTCGACAGAAAATAGTCGTTTTCTTTGCGATAATGCTTTTTGTATATAATGTAAAATGGATTAGATATATTTTTGTATTGTATATATTTATTCAACTGCCATTAATATTTTAAATCTTTTTTTACTTATTTCAGATTTCCCGCTGATCTCACAACCAAACTGTCAAGTGTTTAGTTTGAGCATTAATAGCATTTCTAACAATACATGTCTGTGTTTAGACCATTTTCAACTGAACATTATTTTAAATGTAGCAATAGATTAATTAAAGGATCTATACCAAAATCTGTACCTGTACTTTGCTATAGAAATGAGTTTTTTCCAAATAAACTGTAAATACTTGTAATTCGATATTCATATATTATTTTGTTAAATACTAGACTTATACATTATTATTATTACATTATTGTTTACAGGCATAAAAATAAAAACAGTAAAGAAAATATGCCCTTATCTGCAGTTCCCAACATTGAAAATTTCGAAGTTAGAAAAGAAAGAAGGCCAATGAAAAGGTATGATTAGCTCTTATATTTTTAAAAGCCAAACAGGTGCTGGTAATAATAGCCTTTGGAACTTTTGAAATTTAATTAAATGTATATCATTAAAAATCCTCAATACATTTTATGTACATTTCTTTTGTAGGGACGAAAATATGCAAGACAGGGGACTTCAATCTTTAACTCCCTTTAAAAGACAAAAAATTGTTTAAAATTTGATAAACTCATCACATAAAACACCAATATCTGTAAGCTCCCTTCTAAAAGGGAATGAGAACTTAAAAAAGAAAAACGAAGGTTTGTTGAATTCAAATAAGTTATTTTCTTATATAATCAAGCATTATTATGAATTCAGGAAAGCAATGCTTAAGAAAAAAAAATAAACAGTTATTTTTTTATAGAAAGTTAGCTCTTGTCCAAAAGAAGATTCTATGCAAAAAAAAATATTATTGAAGAACTTAGGGGAATTATTTTTTACAAAGTAGATTGGGATCTTTAAATAATATGATAGGATATATAAAAAATAACTCTTTTATAAAAAGTATAGATATACTTGTGGATGTAAGAATTAATTTCAGTAATATTCATAAATGTTTTTAATGATGAGGAAACATTTTATTTATATATGTTATTTTGGGTCAAATTAGTTTATTTTTTAGGCTTCTCTTGCAAAAGGATCTGAGGAATTGGTCAAGAGAGCAATTAAAGATCATTCCAGAACAAAATACTCCCCTGAATTAAGAGCGTTAGCACTAACTTTAAGCTTCTACAGTATGAAGGCTTATACATATGTCAGGGAAAAATTTAACAATTGTCTCCCACATCCCAGTACTTTATCAAAGTGACATTAGGCTGTTGATGGTTCTCCTGGATTCACTGAAGAGCATTGAAATTTAAAGGCGAGAAAGTCAAAAGGGTTATAAAAAAGGTTTTTCTAAATCTTTTGATGGATGAAATGGCAATTATGCAAAGGGTGGAATGGACTGGCCAAAAATATATTGGATATGTTGATATTGGCAGCAAGTTTCAACAAAATCAGTCAGTTGAAGCAAAATAAGCTATTGTGTTCTGCTTGTAAAGTTAATAAATAATAATATGTCTATTACGAATAGTTAGGTACCTACTATATTTTATATTATCTCTTGTTTTGATTACATTGATTAATAATTTTATTATAAAACATGTACATTTAATATTATTACTACTAGAAATAAATTATTGTTATTTGTTTTCGTTTTTCTTTTATTTACTCTATAAAAAAATTATTTCAGTTTCTAAATGATCTACTTGAACTAAACGAAAATAATGTGTGATCACGAATTCATTTGAAAGCATACAGTTTCAAAACCTATATCTACATAAAGAAAGTTTTCAATCCTAAACGAACATATAGTAATTTCCAGTAAAACATGTCTACAATACAATGTATAACGAAAGCTTAACATAAATAGAAAAAGAACATTGTTTAATAAATTTGTTTATTAATCACGCGAATCAATTATCTAAATTATTAGTTATTGTGAAATTACAGTGCATAAATGGTAAACATAAATACGAACCCTTTCAAACCGTACGCCATTGAGAATGGCGTACCTACCCTTCTCCCCTCATGCCAGAAGTGATGACCCCGCTTATACATAACAAAATACATTGAATGATATCTCTAGTCTTATATGCTCTAAGGGTTTGTTATGTACTGAGGGGGGTAACCCCTTCGGTGTTAGGTACACGACAATATTATAATTGGCGAGTTAGGAACAGGACGATTTATAATTGGCGAATTTAAATAAAGCGCGTATTTGTGATAAATGACATTTCATTTGACGTATTGTTTTCGTTTTTAAAAAGATCGTTTTTTGTGGTTTCCAAAGAAAATTCGGACGACGTGTCTCTTTGATAAACTTTTTAAGTGTATTTTTATTATAAAATAAGTGCTAATCATGCCGAAAGCTTGTATAGTTTGCAATAATAAATTCTTAAAAGGATCCTGGTTGACGTTTCACAAGTAAGTACTCTATATTCCATAAACTTAAAATGGGAAATGGACAAATGAATAAGAAAACATGTTTGTAGAATGTTCTTCATTTGAGCATCACCCTAACAGTTATTTTTTGATAAAAAATTAGCTCTTGCCCAAAAGAAGATTCTATGCCAAAAAAATATAATTAAAAAACTTAGGAGAAATATATTTTACAAAGTAGATTGGAATCTTTAAATAGTATGATAGGATACATATAAAAAATTATTTTATCAAAAGTACAGATACACCTGTGGATGTAAGAATTAATTCCAGTAATTTTCATGAATGTTTTTAATGATGAGGAAATTATTTATTTATATATGTTATTTTAGATCAAATTGGTTTATTTTTTAG